TATCATCTTGTATGTGGAAATTTTTAAGGCACACGACTAGAATAAATGAGCTCAGTAAGATCACAGAATACAAGACTAATATACAAAAATTGATTGTATTTCTATATATTAGCAATGAACAATATAATGAAATTAAGAAAACAATTTCATTCATAGTAGTGTCAAAAGAATAAAATATTTAGGAATAAATTTAACAAAGGAACTGCAAAACTTACACATGGAAAAATGTACCACAATTCTAAGAGAAGTTTAAAAATATCCATGTAAATGGAGAGACATTTCATGTTTACTGATTGGTTGGAGGACTCAGTATTATAAAGTGGTAATTCTCACCAAATTGAGATTCAGTATAGATCAATTTGCAGAGAATTGCCATTTTAATCCTTATCAAAATCCCAGCAGCCCAGTTTTTGCAAAAATCAGGAAGCTGACAAGCTAATCCTAAAACTTATATGGAAATAGAAAGGGCCTAAAACAGCCAAAACAATCTTGTAGGGGCACCTGGATGGCTCAGTCGGTTAAGCATCTGCCTTCAGCTCAGATCACGATCTTGGCGTCCTGGGATGGAGCCCTGTGTTGGACTCCCAGCTCAGTGAAGAGTCTGCTTCTTCCTCACCTTTTGCCCTCCCCTTGCTCATATGCTCTCTTTCTCTCTCCCTCTCTCAAATAAATAAATAAAAATCTTTTTTAAAAAAACCAATCTTGTAAGTTGGAAGATTTACACTTTTCAATATCAAAACTTACTTCAAAGCCACAATAATTAAGACTATATAGTACTGGCCTAAGGATAGACATATAGATCAATGGAACAGAATTAAGAGCCCAGGATTAAACCCTTATATTTTATATTTACGACAGCTGAGTTTTCAACAAAAGTACCAAGACAATTTGATGGGGGAAAGAATAATTATTTCAATAAATGCTGCTAGGACAATGGCATTTCCACATTTGAAAAGATGAACCTAGACCCTTAAGCTATACAAAAGCATTAACTCAAAATGGATCACAAACCTGATATAAAACTTAAAATTATAAAACTTTCAGAAGAAAATATTTCTGATCTTGGACTGGGCAAATATTTCTCCGATATAATGCTAAAAGCCCAATCCATAAAAGCAAAAAATGAATTGTACTACTTCAAAATAAAAAACTTAGGTGCTTCAAAAGACACCATTAAGAAAATGAAAAGATCAGCCACAGACTAGGAGAAAATCTATGCAAATCATATATCTGATAAAGGACTTAAATCCAAAATATATGAAGAATTCTTATGATTCAATAAGAAAAGATGTAATTATGGGCAAAAGATTTGAACAGACATTTCACCAAAAAATATGAATGGTTAATAAGCACAAAAACGATGCTCAACATGATTAGTCATTAGGAAAATGTAAATTAAAACTAGAATGCACTTCACACACTCTGAAATAATTATAATCAAAGAGACAAGAACAAGTATAGGAGGGGATATGGAGACTTGGAATCCTGCATATTACCTTCTTCATTCCTCAGCAGTCTTTGGACACAGTTCACAGGTAAAGATATGGAACCTCTGTCGAGGTCATGGGGCTGAGGCATGGAGAGTAACTTGCCTCCAACAGATCTAAGCTGTCCTACTGTATCGAGAACCTTTAAGATCTAGGAATGTCTAGTCCAGTCATGAGGCCTGCTAAGTGGCTCTGAGCACCTCCTTCATTCTATGCTTGGCCCCGCTGAAGGCTTCCCTATTTGAAACTTTGTGATTCTAGATTACCTGGCAGTTCTGTTATGCCATGAGATTTTCGGCCACCATCACAGCAATTGCATGCCTGACTCTGACTCATGTTTATCCTTGCTGTAAGACTGGCCCCTCTTGACCGATGTTGGAGGATGGTGATGAGCAGCAGCTTCTCAATACTGCCTGGGTGATTTCTGCTGATATTTTGGCCTCACTGCTGCCCTGAAGGTCATGAAAACCTTCCCCCAGGATCTTCTCTCAGCCAGGACTCAGTAGTTCCATGGTCCTTTTACTGTTATCCCTGGGCCACAGTGCAGCCTCATGGTTCCAGAGAAGAACCTTCTATCAGTTTGGAATATTTTATCCCCTAGAGTTTAGCTTCGGGTGATGCTGCAGGCTACAGGATTGGAAGGGTTGGGCTGAGTTTCAGTTGCTACCTGGGCTTTAAGTCCTTGGGCTCAAATCCCTCTCACGCTTTCTACCATATTGCTCAAAACCTGGGATTCTTGGGGTTTCATTTGCTCTGACTGTTGGGCATGGTGGCTAATGTTCTATATCAGAGTCTTAGACATCAGTTGAAACATAAAAGGAATGCATAGATACTCAGACGGTCGTATGTGAGGTCAAGTATGAGTAAAGGTCTCTTCACATTCACCAGCATTCAGACAAATTTAGAGTCTGCGCACCTTCTGCAGCTGACAATTTCATATATCTCGTGTTTTGTCATTGTTCCATAAACTGCCTTGAATTTGCTCTACTCGTGGCCTTTGCTGAAGGTATCCTCCATGTCTGGATTCAATCACTCCTTACCAGGACCTCCCATAACCAGGGGAGGTTACGTGCTAGGAACACAGGGGAGGGAGGGAGGCAGGATGCCCAAGAGTACTCCTCTCTTGTAGGACCTTTTGGGCCCATTGGGAGGGACAGGAGGCACACAGATAATGAAGAAACTGATGTTAGCAGAGATAATGGGATGGGGAAGAGAGAACCCAACATCACTGTTGAAACTACAATTGATTCTAGATTGCTCAGTTCAGGTTAACCTTGGTTGAGGCAGGGACTCAGACAAACCCCCGCCAGGGCAGGCCTCTCCAATTAGGTGGCCTTGAAGATGCTTGGCTCTGGTTGTTCTCCCAGGGCGAGAGGAGACAGCCGGGCCTGGGTGAGGCTGCAGCTCCGGTGCTGGTACTTGGGTGTCTCCAAGCTCTGCTGAGCAGAGCAGCTCTGTTGGCAGGTAATCAAGAGATGTCTATCATCTCAACTGAGATTTGGGGGTTACCTCTGGTTTTCCAGCAGACCGCGCTCCTCCCCGCAAATTTAATTCCCAGATCAGTTAATATGCTCCTGAGTAACTGAGAAGTAGAAGTGTATATTTAAGCCATTAATGAGGCAGAATTAAGTCACACGTCCCATTTGAGCCATCTCCAGGGCTAGATGGCCTCTTAGGTCTTTCTCCTGTTTCTTTCTTTCTCCTCCTCCCACTATGTTTTAGCTAAATCATGGGCTAAGGTGGCTTTGGTAGAATGGACGAGGCTATAATTGTTATCCATGCCACAGTTTCTGTAGGAAAACGTATTGTGTGCTAGGGTCCTACAGAGCACATCTGCTTCTCCTCCCATCCCTTCCACCCCGCCTAGGGCTACCGCCCCGGGGCATCCCTTTGGTCTTTGGAGGGTGGGAGAGGCTGAGGAGCCAGTGTGAGCCGCAGGGGGGCCTCATCCTTCCCTCCTCTCAGCATGCAAACAGAGTGGCTTGCTTGCTTTTTATCTTGATTATATATGGGCTGGGCTTTAGCATTTGATTCCTTTTGAACAATGAATCCCGCTGTTAAGCAAAAAAAAATACTGAAAACTACTGTTTTAAGAAAGCTGGTATTTTTTTTTTAGTTTTTTTTTTTTAATTTATTCAGAGAGAGAGAGAGAGAGACTGAGAGGCAGAGACACAGGCAGAGGGAGAAGCGGGCTCCATGCAGGGAGCCCTACGCGGGACTCGAACCTGGGTCTCCAGGATCAGACCCCAGGCTGCAGGCGGTGCTAAACCGCTGCGCCACCGGGGGTGCCCAAGAAAGCTGGTATTAAGTGCAATGCCCAACTAGTGATTTAGAAGCAGTTTGCTTAGGGACTTAAAATAATGATCCAGGGGAACGAATTTACTGTTAGTCCTGGACCTGCTCCAAGTTCATGCTCTCTTGACTCTGCTAAGTTCTAAGAACATTGTAGCTAGATCTTTATTTCAGCACACAATTTTTAATCATGTATCAACCCTGAAAAGAATGAAGTGGCATTCAGATTTAGGGGATTATAGAGATACGTGTATGTAAGCTTTTGCATTGTTTGCATTTGCATTATGACTACAACAAAGGTTTTAGAATTGTTTATGGAATGCCCTTTTCCTAAACATACTTTTTCTTCCCATCTTTTTTTTTTTTTTAAGATTTTATTTATTGATTGATGAGAGAGACACAGAGAAAGGCAGAGACAAAGGCAGAGGAAGAAGCAGGCTCCCTTTGGGGAGCCCGATATGGGACTTGATCCCAGGACCCCAGGATCATGACCTGAGCCAAAGGCAGATGCTCAACCACTGAGCCACCCAGGTGGCCCTTCTTCCATCTTCTAAAGATAACACTGAAAAGTATTTTGTGTCCAGGCTAGGAATTGCTAAATAATCTTAAAGCACACCATAACTTGTATTATTTTCCTCACAGGGACCTTTTGGGGTACACTAAAGGCTCTGTACCCCTCAGATGTTTCATCATGAAAAAGGGCTTCTGTGGATACAGCCTTATTCCCCTTCTACTTGCTTACAAAAGGTGATACTGGGAAATAGTAAGAGCTGGAGCCAGTAATTAGAAGCCAGGCATCCCTGTCTCTTCTTGACTACCCTGATTCTAGAAGTTTCCTAACAGCTTGATTCCCAGGAATAAGGATATTCACCTTGCTGACTTCACAGGCTTGTTTTGAGTTGAAATGAATATTGCTGTGTGAAGGCTTTCTGCAAATATCAAGAGCTATACAAATCTATAGAGTCCCATCACCTAAAGTGAACAGGGCTCTGCATTTTTCGCATGACAATGACACTTGTTATCTAAAGACATCTTGACTTAATCTTGCAGTATGTTGAGATTTAATCTTTTCGAAGAGAAAAAGAAACCTCTAAGAGCTGTAGGACTTACCTTGAATAACTAGAGGGATTTTTCATAATCTTTATATAAATGTCATTTTTAAAGAAAGAAGAATGGATTAGCATGCTTATATGCTTGTAACTTGAATTTTATTGTCCACTACGGTGCTATTACTGTTGTATACAGATTGAGCATTTATGTTTTCAGTCCACAGAACTTTGTATTCCTTTATTGTATTAAAAACAGAGGTATTACAAAGAGGATTGTAACAACAGTAATGTTTTCTATCTTCTTTATCTTGTTCGTGTCCGTGAAGTAATTAGTACTAACAAGAAAGCACTAATCTCTGGCTGGCACACATATTTAAGTGTGTAAATAGCACATTCCACTGTGTTGTGTTATTGTGTTAAAAAGTTGTGTTAAAACATTACAAGGATGAATGCAGAACCAGTAAAGCTATGCTTTTTTTTTTTTCTAAAAGAAATTTTAGGATGTTCACATGGCTCAAAATAATGCTTCTCATTTTTAAAAATCCTTGACTTTTCAAACCTAGTACAACAGAGCCGCACTCAGTGTGCTATTTGAAATGTGACATTCCCTTCCCCTGGTTTTGTGTTGTTACAGAGGAAATGGGTATTCAGTATACATGATTCAAGTGGGGATAAAAACCCCTATTTAATTCCACAATATTCCTTAGACTGGGGAAAAAAAATCTCTTTTGTAGTCATGTTTATCTTATAGTAACTCTAGAGCCAAACAATTTATTATGTAAATGTAGAAATACAAACAGCTTTATCGAACAAAATACTTACTATTTTCTGGCTACCTGACAGAAACGATTTACTTAAGAAAACAGAACAAAATTTCTCAGTTTCATTATTCAGCTTTGTCAATATTTTGCCAGAGCTTTTTTTTCTTGGGGTGGGGGAAGCAAATGAAAGAGTTTAAAAGCTCATATGTGTCTATTTTGTTTTAGCTTCGTGTATTTATTAAGAGTAAATTCTGTATGTCTTTGCAGTTCATCAATATGTGTATTTAGAAGTTTCTCAAATTCTTTTGCTCGCTTCTCTTCCTCCAGGAGAAAATGCTGTGCAGCCAAAGAGGCTGGGAAGACTATATCTGGGGGAGACTAAAGAGAGAAAGAAATGTTAGATGAGGAATACAAAGCCTTTTAAACCTTCCTGTTTCCAGGCATGCTTCATCCGGAGCATGTGGTCAGACATAGCTCCTAATGAAATAATCCAGACTAACTCTCTCTGCTGTTGTAATACAGTGACTGCTTGTGAAATCCTCAAAGAATGAAAACATCACACCACCAGCATATTCAAAAGCTCTAAGAAATGAATAGTTACATGTTCAACTGCAAAAGCAGGGACAGGGACAAGAAAATTACCATGGAACTTGCCTAAAACATACTCGACTAATTTGTAAAACCAAGGGTTTTCATCTGAAAATAGGCAACGCCAAAAAGCTGACGTAAAGATTATGATAGACTTGGGCAAAGAAAACTTAGATAGGAAAAAAAATTAAGGATTGGCTGAAAAAGGGAGTTAATTGCTGTTTGGAGTTAGCCAGGTGAGGAGAGCTGGCATGATGCATGTCGGGGTACAAGTGGCTTCCAGCAGGGAAGGCCGTAATGCTGGAATGTATCTCCTTTGTGCAATTAGAGCTGACAAAGCCTCCCACTTACACACTTTGTGGTAATATGGAAGTGCTCATTTAACTGTTTGTTAACTGATAAGTCCTGCCAAATGACTTAGCAGATCCCATACTAGGAGAATCTCTGATAAAATAAAATTGCCTTGTGTAGCCTCTGCCAAGTGTACTAGGCAAGTTGCCTTGAAGAAGCTTAAGATTCTGGAGCAAGACCACGCCATCTGTAGCAGAAAACTGTAAACTATTTACACAACCGTTCCTGTAATGCTACTGGCCCTAGTTGAGGCCGAGCAGCTAAGAAGTGGAGAGGATGACTGGTTCTAGCTCTGTCCTTGGTCACTCCAGTGGAAATTATGGATGGGCCTGTCAGGACGGTCCCACTTTCACCAAAATTAAGGTAGCTAACTATGGCTGTTGAGCGTCCCACCTGCTTGCAATAGAGACCAAAGCTGAGGAGTTCCAGATATGGCACCCATCCCTCAAGGAAACTAACCAGCCTCTTGGTGGCAACTAATTTACACTAGGTCCCTTCCACCTTGGAAGGGGCAATGTTTTACCCTCACCAGCACTGATGTATATTCTTTGGGTTTGCCTTTCCTGCCTGAAGGGCCTTGGCCTTGATCACTACCTGGCAGCTCACAGAGAGACTGAGTTAGACATGGGATCCTGACTAATAGTAAAGGAACCTAATTTACAGCTGAGGAGTATGGCAGAGGGGGCATGACCATGGAATGCATTGGTCTTACCACAACCAGTACCATCTGCAGGATGCTAGCTCTGATAGGCTTCTTGAAGGCAGGGGTGGGGCATCAGCTGGGAAATTATATCCTGTGAGGATGGGGTACATTCTTCAGGACATGGTACAGACTCTCAACCAATGGCTGTTATATGCTACTGTGTTTCCAGCAGGAGAATACGTGAATCTGGGAACAAAAGGGAGGATGGAAGAATGGCTCCACTCTCCATCATTTTTGTTGACCCACTTGGAGAATTTCTACCTTGTGTCTTTGTATCTTGAGGCTCTGTGGATGTACAGGCCCTGGATCTTAGAGGGGGAAATGTCTCCACCGTGATACCTGTAAGAGTCTCACTGAGCTTAAAGCATTGGCTGGAAAAAAAAAAAAAAAAAAAAGCATTGGCTGGCACCTAGCCACCTCGGGCTCCTCATGCCGAAGGATCAGAGGCACAGAAAAGAGGTACTACACTGGCAGAGGTACCTGGCCCTAATCATCACGAAGACTACTACTACATAATGGAGGCAGCGAGGAACATGTCTGATATTCAGCTAGCCACTGAGGTTTCTTTTAATACTCCTGTGTCCAGTTTTAACTGTAAATGGCAAACCACATCCCGAGGAGGACACAGGAACCAGGGGCTCACGCGACAAGGCAAGCTACCTGGACTAACGTAAGTGCTAGCTGAGATGGAGAGGTATCTAGAATGGGTGAAGAGATGATGACCATCCATTAAGTTCTTGAGACCAGTTGTGGCATCAAGGCCTGTAGTTTGTCCCACTGACCCTCCTCTTACAAGCTTTCCGAGAAATGTGACAAGCCAGAATCTTGGAGAAGATAGGCCTGAATGGAATGAATATGAACAGAGCATGGATCTGAGTGGCTCAAGAGGTAGACTCTAGCAGATGCTGTTGGTGTCCTAGCGGGGTTCCCTTCACCAGGCTGGCACATCTGTCCTCCTGCTTGCTGGGGGGTTGGTTCTCTGGAGACCTGCCCTCAGCTGGACTAAGAGCCTGCCTCATCTGAGAAGTTGTAATATCCCCCGCAGCCTATTCCCTCTCCTCTAAGGCGAGGACTGATTGACACATGGCACAGAACACCAGACTTCCTGTCTCCAGGGGAACCAACTCTGTTGTGCGATTCATGCTCCAAGCTCCTGATGAGACCAGGTCAAGTTTCTCCAGCTTGTTTTGAGCTCATTTTTGTCTAGCTTTCTTCCCTCCCTAGATTGCTTCCCTGATTCTCCTTCTGCCAAGACTTACTACCTTCAAGAAACCACCTTCCTAAGAATCTCTGTCTCAGATGCTAGGAAACCTGATCTCAAATGGATGACTTCTTAACTGCTGGCTTGAGTGATGACTGGGTGACATCAATGCCACTTATGAGAAAAGTAAAATAGTAAAAGGGCTCATTGAGGGTAAGGTCTTATTTATTTTTGATTCCCTGGGTTCTAGCATAGCTTCTGGCACAGGTATAAACAAAATTTTTGAATTAATTGTACCCCTCCCTTCTTTGAGGTAAAATGCACATCAAGTAAAATCATTTGAAAATGAACCACTCAGTGGCATTTAGTACATTTACAATGTTATGCAACCACCATCTTTATCTAGTTCCAAAATAGTTTCATCATCTTAAAAGGAAACTGGACCCACTAAGCTACTGATCCCCATTCCCTGCTCCCCGAGCTGCCCCTGGTAACCACTAATCTGCATCCTGTTTCTATGGTTTACCTATTCTCAGCACTTCATGTAGTTGGAACCATAAAAAATATGATCTTTTGTGCCTAACTGCTTCCACTTAGTATAGTGTTTTGGAAGTTTATCTACTACACTATAGCACATATCAGTATTTCTCTCCTTTTTATGGCTAAATAGTATTCCATTGTGTGTCTGCAATGCTATTTGTTTAACCATTCATCCACTGGTGAGATTCCTCTCTTTCACCAGACTGTAGGCTTCTATGTCTCATCGAAGATGTGTTAGAACAGAACCTGCCATACACCAGGTGCTTATAATGTTGATTTTATGACTGAATGATGAGCATTAATATTTAAGGACAGGTATAGGAGAGAGAAGCTTAGAAGTAGACTGGGAAAAAGGAACCAGAAAGGCAGCAGGAAAACCAATGGAGAATAGTGTCATAGAAGCCAGAGAATATGAGAGTTTCAAAAGAAATGATTAAGGAAGACAAGTTCTTAAAGCATATTTAATGAACTAGAAGGTTGCTGGTGGTCTTGGAAGGAATAGTACTGATGTAGAAGTTAAAATGTAGAGGTGGAGGGAAACTACTGAACCCAGAACAGTGGATTGGACCATGTCTTTCAGGGAATTCTGGGGCTTCCATCACAGATTAAGTTCCCCATGCCCAGACCTAAAACAGGAGATAATTTTTTCCTGGCAACTCTGAGGCTCTGAACTTCCTCAAAGGAGTGATGCAAGGAAGGAAGGAAGCCCAATCCTTGTTATTAAGACAACAGATACGCTGGTATGCTTTTTAGGTGCCTACTAATGCTCCACACTTTTTTGGGTGCTGGAGTTACAACAGTAAGAGAAGACAGAAAAAGTCCCTATATTCATGGAGCTTAAATTCTAGAAGAGGGAAGCAAACACACGAGCAGACATAAATGTGTTATGGTGAAGTGCTATGAAAAAAATAAAAACCAGGACAAGGGGTAGGGGAATCAAGGAGGAGGTGCTACTGTAGGTTGGTTGCTCAGGCACCCATGATGAGGTGATATTTGAGCAGAGACTAACTAGCCTAAAATGCTAAAATCATCTGACATTAGAACCATATGGCATTTAGCAATTCATCATGCTTTGTTTCACTGGAATATATGCTTACTTCAGAGTCCTTCAGCATCCAGATTTTATTGATACAAAATTTGCTAACTCCCCTCAGTGGCTCCCATAACTTAAATAAGGAGGTTTATTTCAGTTATTTTATCGGTATAGAATTTTATTCTTTTCAAATAATTCTGGCATTTCATGTTGAGAGGAACACAAAAGAACATTTCAAGGCTTTAGAGATCTCTAACGCTTCAAAAGTTAATGGTTTAAAGTCTTCTTCCACAACACCTTAAATCTTATTTCCAATCTCTACCAAAAGAAGCCAACAGATTCCAGAAAAGCAGAAAAGCACTCATGGGGTACCCCATCCAGTTTAAACATTTCCTATTGTTGTCATTGTTTATAATTTGCATCCAATATTAGTATAACATGGAGAGGTGCTAAAAAATTACATGATATACTTTGAATATAAGTGAAAGCAATTGCTACGAGTACTACTACTCACTTTCTGAGGTAAATATCTACTTAAAAACACCCTGTGATTATTATGTTCAAGAAATTAAATCATAAGGCAGGAAATTCAGCACAGAACTGGAAAATGCAAAAAAAGAATCAGATGAAAATTCAGGAACTGAAAAATATAAGACTGAAATTAACCTACACGAAATCACATTCTTAAGGCAGGGAGTGGTGGCTCTTTTATGCATAGAAACCAACACAGAGAGTCAAGGAAAATGAAGAAACAGAAGAATATGAAATTAAGAATCTTTCCCACCTGTTTTATGAGGTCAACATAATCTGATGCCAAAGGTTGATAAGGACAGCAAAAGAACATTACAGGCTAATTTCTCTAGTGAACACAAAACAAAAAGTCTAAGCCAGTATGAACAGACCAAATGCAGTTATCAAGTGCAGTTTATTCCAAGAATTCAAAGTTGAGTTAACAAGAAAAAACATTAACCAAACTAAAGAGAAAACTAATATGGTCATTTCTTTTTGTTTTTGCTTTGGTCATTTCAAAAGAAGCAGTACAAGCATTTGATAAAATTCCAAATTAATTCACGAACAAAGTCAGCACTCCAGAAATAAAAGGGAAATTGCTTAATATTAATAAAAGGAATAGGGACGCCTGGGTGGCTCAGCAGTTGAGCATCTATCTCAGGGCGTGATCCCAGGGTCCGGGATCGAGTCCCACATTGGGCTCGTGCAGAGAGTCTGCTTCTCCCTCTGCCTATATCTCTGCCTCTCTCTCGGTTTCTCATGAATAAATAAATAAAATCTCAAAAAAAAATCTTAAAAGGAGTCTACAAAATATCTATAGTGAATATCATACACAATGGCGGAATATTGAAATTCCTTTGCAATTGAGAATGAGAGAAGGATACATTTACTGGAGGCCTTAGTAAAATAAAGCACAAAAAAGAAAAAAGGTATAAAGATATGAAAGTAGGAAATAAATTATCATTATTTTGATTTGGAATATAGAAAATTCAATAGAATCCACAGGACTAGAATATATGTGCAAATTCAACTGAATATTTTCATGGGGAAAGGGATTGAGAATACTACCTTGCACCATATGCAAAAATTGATTCCAGGTGTAGATGTAAATATGAAAGGTAAAGAGCTAACGGTTCTAGAAGAAAACATAGGATAATACTTTTGTAACTTTGGGACAGGCAAAGTTTTAAATAGGTTACCAAAAAATGTTAATTACAGAGGAAAAGATTCATAAGTGAATGTATTAAAATTAAGAACTTCTGGTTACCAAAATATACTATTAAGTGAAGAGGCAAGTAAAAGTGATAGAAGATATTTGCAATATATATAATCAACAAAGGGCTATATCCAGAATATATAAAGAACTCCTACAAATTGATGAGAAAAAAGACAATCCAACAGAAAGTTAGGCAAGGGAATTGAACAGACATTTTACAAAGGAGAACATCAAAATGGCCAATGAAAAGGTGCTCAACTTTATTATTCACCAGATATATATTAAAACCATGATAGGAAGTTACTACACACTGGCCAGGAAAGCTAAAATAAAAAAGACGGAGAGTACCAAGTGGTGGAAAGAAGAACACTCAAATACTACTTATTGGGGTATTAACTGGCTCAAACAGTTAGAGAACCAGTTTGGCATTACCTCCTAAAGCTGGCCTTAAGTATATCCTATGACCCAGCAATTCCACTCTAGGAATATACTCAATGGAAATGTGTACACGTGTGCACCAAAAGATACATACAAGAATGTTTTTAGCAGCATTATTTGTAATATTCCTGAGCAGGAAATAACTCAAATGTCTGCCAACAGTAAAATGGATAAATTGTAGTATCATTCTATGCAGCATTTATTTACAATGGAATACTATCGAGAAACAAAAATGGATTAACTACATAAAATTAACATATAAAACAATATGGATGATGAATCTCAGAAAATAGCCTTAGACTGAAATACTTGATGAAACATTATGGATCCCTTTTCCTTCTATAGAAAGGCACGGCCAAACAACCCACAGATCCACCTTGGAGTCCTATTCAAGAAGCAATATTTTCTTTCTTAACAACTATGTGAACATCAGTGTATAGTTATCAGTGTAGGAGTAATCATTCCTTAAAGGAAAAAAAATTAACCAACAACCCAGCAACTCACCAGTGGGAACACTTCATCATCACTAACCAGGGGACTCGTCATTTCTTTGGTTTGAAATGGCAAAGGTGGCAGTGGAGGCGTTGCACTTCTGTTTGGCTCACGATCTTGGCTAAGTCTAAAAGAGAAGGATGGTTCTCATTTACCGCTACCAAGGACACTGCCTGTTCATGTAGCTAAAGATTTCAATTTCTCTGATGTAACAGTAGGGGAAGCACAACAAAAAGTTTGGCCTTCTTATCTCAGTATCTCTTTGAAAATAATTTTCCAGATGAGTCATTTCTAATGATTAATAATGAACAGAAAACTTTGTAATTATTAAAAATATTCTCCAATTCTTATTGCCTACTTTGTATCTCTTTTTGTGTTTTACTTTCGGGTCCCTCTGCCATTTAATTAAACAACATGATACCAGTTTGGAAAGAATCTCAAAACAGCTAACACTGCTGCCCTTGACAATTCTAAATAATCCTCTTTCTGTATTCTCTATTTCACTTAACCTCGATGGCTTTCTCAACAGAATTATGCTGCCTTTTTTTTTTTTTTGATGCTAGAACAAGCCCTTGTACAATAATTCTAATTCCTATAGGATTTAGCAATTTGTAACATTATTTCAATTTGTATCATCTCCTAAACTCATCCTTAGTAGCTGTATGACCTTGACCTTGAGCAGATAACTATATCTTTCTGTGACTTTAATTTTTTTCATTGATTAAAAAAGATGGTTGGGAGAATTGAACTCCAGGATGAAAGGTACACTACAGAATTGGTTGTTTTTGCTAAAATATAAGGTAGAAAATGAAACTGAATAAAATACCAGTGAGATTTTAAATTTTGGTATGCCAAGTAAACAAATGAATAATAAAACAAAAACTGAACCAAATTCCCATAAAATTTTACATAAAAATGTTCTAACAGTATGAGCTATTTGGGACTAAATGTCTTTCTGAACATTAATTCCTGAAATTGGGGTTGAAATTTAATCAAAATCATCAAAGCCCATGAAAACATAAGAATCCCTTCAACTTAAAATTATTTATTCATTTTTATTGATTATTCAAATTCTCCAGAGGTATTGATTTACCATTTTCAAAGCCTTCATATTTTAATTTCACATAGTTCCAAAAAATTCACATTATTGTTCTCTCCTCTTATCCAGAGACTATCTATCTATACAGACCTATTTCCTATTATGTAAACATTTTCAAAGTGATGCATACAAATAGCAATAAAAGTTAAGTGAGACATCTGTAAATTAGGACATAAAAACAAACACAGCATGTTTTCCATTTTTACTTATCTTGAAATATATCTTTTTTTAATCCATTCTTCCAAACCATAATTACCATGGAAACAGAACAGCAAATTAAACTGAAATAACATGGTTTATGATGTGCACGTTAAGATGAAACATCCCACAATTCAGATAGAATTATAACAATTGCAGAGTACATCTGCATAGAGTCTTCAGCTGAACCTTTTAATTTGAGTGAGGCTACCATCTATACTTCAAAGCACAGTGGGAAAAATAAGATAATTATAGAAGCGACTCAAGACATACATAATCTCTTTGTAATCTCAATTATACAAAGATTTCAGGGAAAGTATTATTTGTCCTAAATTATCTACAGAATTATCTCAATTATCCATTTTGCTTTGGATGTATCGATACAGTTTACAGTGTTAATTAGTAAAACATATATGAACATGCTTTTTCATGCTTTTACTGTAAGATCAATAAAATGTAGAGATTGAAAGGAAAGACTACATTATGGATTAAAATACTTTTGGTTTAAATTGTCTTTATATCTGCAAAGTTCTTCTAGAATGCAGCTATTCCAATACTTCATAAAACCACTTTGCAGAAAATGTTCAGTCTATCAATTTAAAAGCTATCATAAAAGACATTTCGGAAGGCTTTTATTTCCCTCTTATAAGCTGGTCTTTTCAGTTGTCTTTTCCACAGGTCCTAGTCCGAGGCCTCTGCCTACTTCTGCCAGGAGGGCAGGACCCAGTTGTTGGGAGCAGAGCTCTGCCCACTTGAGACCTTGGAGTCAACTGTCTGCAGTTTTCAGAGTTGTCTGATTGTACATCCATTCCTGGTGTTCTGTTAATTTTCGCTGGGCTCCAGGATAATGTCCTCAGTGTGGAACAGGACCCCTTCACAAGTGCTAATCTGCCTGCTTCTAGCCTCACCCCTAACACTCCACACTATGTTCCCTGTTCTAGGAACTGCTCAGTATTTCCTGGCCTGCAACTTTTCAGTCTATGTTTTGCTCCTTATTGAGTAACACATTGGTACAAAATTTTCATGACGGGCTTTTTTTGCTTCTAGATGACTATCCATCCTTGACAAGGGACTCTGTGAGAGTAGTTATGACAAACCTACCAACTTTGTGGTTTTCTTGGTGTTAGAATCTTTTTATTTATTGACTCGATCTGAAGCAATTTTAGTGATTAATATTTATAGTCACTAAACTCTTTCCAGTACATGATGTAACCTTTAAAACCATACATTGACTTTTAAGTATGTATCAGATATAGAGATGAAACCCATTATAAAACTGAGTTGTCATTAAAATTAGTCATATATTAATTGCTCTGGATAACATTATTCCAAATTAGTTTATAAATTATCCTTAAACTTCAAAACTCTGTTTAAAAACTTTAAAGATATTCAATACATCCTCACTAAATTCAATTACATCTTATTCATAATTTTTTAAAGTTCTGAATAACTTCCCTATCCCAAAGCAAATCTGCCACAATATCCTAAAATGCTTCACAGTTTAAGTGGATGAGCATGAAGAACTTCTTATTACTTCTAATAGGAATGAAAAACAACAACACAAATTGGGTTATTTCTGAGTGGATAAAAGATTATTTAAAAATGTATTATGCGAAGTAAGTCTACCAGAGAAAGATAATTATCATATCTCACTCATATGTGGAATTTAAGAAACAAAACAGAGGAGCATAGGGGAAGGGAGGGAAAAATAAAATAATGAAATCAGAGAGGAAGACAAACCATAAGAGACTCTTAACCATAGGGACAAAACTGAGGGTTGCTGGAGGGGAGGGGGATAGGGGATGGAATAACTGGGTGATGGGCATGAAGGAGGGCACGTGATGTGATGAGCAGTGGGTGTTATATAAGACTGATGAATCACTGACCACTAAAAAAACAAAAAACAAAAAACAAAAAACAAAAAAAAACCCAAAAAAAAAAAAAACCTTCAGGAAAAAAAAATACGGCTTTTCAGTTTCTATGACTGATAAATCTTCCTCACAAACCAGTTGTGGTACCGCAAGACTAAGGGATCAGATTAAACACACCCAAGCTGGCAACTTCCTCTGATGGGATGAACCACCTGCACTGCTAGGCGAGACCTCTGTTTGACCCCAAAAGAGGTAACTGGGTGATGGACATTAAAGAGGGCACGTGATGTGACGAGCACTGGGTATTGTATGCAACTGATGAATCTCTGAACTCTGCCTCTGAAACTAATAATACACTAATATGTTAAATCAATCGAATTTAAATAAAACAAAGTTGAAAAAAATAAAAATGTATCATGCAATCTTCCTCACCTAAGGAGGAAGCGGCTAAAAATTAGACTTAAAAATTTTGTGGAACACTATCTGCATATACTTTTCCCTAAAAGCTTTTTCCTCTCTAAAATAGTTTAATGAGAACTTCCCGCATTAGCCATTGCTATGTAAATATGACTCCGTATGTTCCGATGATTTTTAGGCCTAACGAGTATATACAGCTTTTACTATTTGCCTTCACTGAGCTGTGCTGTGAGGGAGAGAAGGAACATTTCATTTTTCACTTGCTGAAATTAAAAGGCATGTACTTTACAGCTCTCCACCGAGGAGCCCGCTGTCCTTGCAACTCAACAACGCTTTCCCCATAGCGGCTTCTACATGGTAATAATTTATTCAGAACATTTGAAATGCTGTTTCTTTTAAAAATCAGGTCACTGGAGAACACTGAAATCAGACAAGGCATTAAAACCAATTTAATGAAACTTTCAACAGATGACACTGGCAGGACACAAGGCTCTGCAGCAGGCACAGTAGTCCAAACTGCTTATTAAGATGATCTCCCGCTGAGCGTTTTACCTCTTGTGTAGCTTTCTGTGTCTCCTACTGTCTTGTTTTCGTTAGGCCCTTTTAACACATTCTGTGCCGTCCAACAAAGAAAAAAGGGGGCCATCCAAACAATAAAATTACTTTTTAAAAGTAATAAAAGGCAGAGGAACTGCTTTTTAAATCACAATTCCTGGTACCTTCATCTAAGGCTTTCAGAATTCTTCCCAACAAGCAAGAATAGGAAACAATGTTCCGCACCTAATGGGTGCTCCATACAGGCCAGACTGACTAACAAACCCAGGAAGACCCTTTATAAAGGATATCTTTAGGGGCCTGCTTCTCCCTTACAATGAAAAAACTGTATACACGGGTCATGATTTGACCCACAGAGAAATAAATCTGTAGAGTAGGAAGGCACTTTGGGAGGGTTTATTCTATGTCAGAAAAAATATTTCTATACCACAATCAAAATTAGAACTCTTTTGGACAGATTTTCCGTTCCGCTGGCAGCACACACAGACACATTCACGAGAGAACTGGCCCACCGCAGTGCCTCAGTGACCTGTTCTGTCCGCCGCCCCCCGCCAGGATCCCACCGCCAGTGTTTGTTTTAGGGTGGCAGCCAGTCTGCCCTCATTTCCTTCCCCAACTACTTGAAGAAACGTTATTCATTTAGCACTTTTGAGTGGTTGTTGTTTCTTGCCTCGGGTTAGGATATATCCTCTAATACGTACAGGGCAGAGGTGACACAAGTAGGGAGCTGTGCTATATCTGCAAGAATGCTAAACACACATATTTTTTGGTATGTGCCATGGATTTATGGATCTACCCCCTGTAGAACTGGGTGTGCTTAGTTACAAAGATGAGCCTGGCATCACCCCGCCTCCACAGGACTATCTTTGAGGAAATGCCAGGTTCAGCCATTTGGCCATCAAAACCGACTTTTTTAGGCACTGTGAGTTGTTGAAGAAGTATTCATATTATCATAAGTGCTAACAATTTTGTCAGTAATAACAGTGTCAGTAAGAATGGCTAACATTTATGGAAATATGTGTTTTACATGGAACTATATGTTCTTCTATAATTCTCACAAAAAAACTTATAATTATTATTCCTATTTATCAGATGGGAAGTTAAGGATCACAAAGGCTGTAAATTTCCCAAGCTTGTAAATACTGTTATATGAGAATAGTGTGTAAGGTTTTCCTGGTAAGTATTATGAGTTCTTGAGCAAAGGTTGTACTGATGTTGAGTCCTATCAATTCATCATTTTGTGGCGCCATGAAATGTTAATAAATCCAATGTTAAGTAAGTCTGAAGAGTCCTGCACACCACACCTCTTCTTGAAACCCACAATGTATATTAGCATATTAATGACTTAGAGCTGTCTTGTAGAAAAGAAACTTGTTTATTTTGCTGAGAATTTTCTAAGTCTGGAAAAAGAGTGAAAAATCTCCAGGGACAGTTTGGATTCCAAAAATATTTTATTAAAGTTGAATAAATTAGTCTAATTTTATGGTTGATGTATTTACTTAAATTTTGAACTAAGACACTTTAAAAGGGGATCATGTAATTCTCCACATGCTTCTCTTCACTCAGAGGAGACCTCCTACCCAACCGTCCTCCTACTCTACCCAATTCTTTCCCCAGGAAGTGACCAATGGTTTGTTGCTACTGCTGGAGTGTCAGTATAAAGTGTATATTTTGAAGTTAAGTCGGAAGTGACATCATCCTATATCTGTACTTTGATTAAATATATGTAACATATGAAAATCTGTTTTTTATGGCATTAAAAAATAAGATACTTGCTTATATATTTTGAGTGCCACATCAGCTTCTAAGAAGGGTGTGAAGTGACATTCACCAAAACACTACCATTTCACTGTTAGAGTTTGAAAGCTAGCAACAATACAGAATTTCATATAAAACAGCAGATCTATACTACTGCATTATCACTAAAATAAAATTAAAATAACTGAAGAGCAAAAGTTTATAAAATTCAATTTTAATTTTTTTCAAAATAAAGTTCTATTTCTAAATGTATGTTCATTCATGTGTGTCCTCATATAAGGGAGTTAACATACCTATCTTCATGTTTTTCCATTTTTATTTGGTTTTGATAGGTGTATCGTCCCATTTCTTCATAGGTATTTTGGTTAGCCCATGCTGATTTGTCATTGGCACGAAGTTTTGCAAGATCATTTCGGAGCCTTTCATTCTCATATTCTAGTTTGTTAATAGATGTATGCCTTGAATGTTCCCTGTTAGTGAAGTCCATACTCTAGGGAATAAAAAAAAAATCCCTGAAAAAACTGTTCCTTATAAGCGATGCATATTTTCTGTATGTTTAGACATGTCTGTTGGAAGGTGCTTTGACTGGAGTCAGTGGTATGGCTCTACTCCTATGTACATCCAAAAGCCTTTTCGCATTCTTACCTCCTCACAACACAGATACTGAGTATTTACCACTGAACACATTGCAATAAAAGCAATGCCTACACTAGTACCCGTGTTCACTTATGCATTAGCATTCTCTGAATCAAGAACAGATTGGCTGGATTTAAGAGTTTTCATGTTTATAGAGTATGCCTTCTGGTGTTAATAATGGAACCAGAATTAACATACATTTCAATTTTGAAAGACATTTTTCTTTGATCACAATAACACATGTCATTATAGAAAATCCCATATTGATTCCCCGCTGTTGGGTGACGCAACAAATTATATACAAAATCCATACAGACTAGAGTCTGACTCTGGACCACTTTAAAGCAAAGATCTAAGAGCTGAGATTGTGCTAGTAGCACAGTTTTGAGGAATGTGGCTTCATGATGAAGTTTTACTATCTAGTATGTGCCACCCAATTTCTAATGTGTCTTAAGAAGAAAATACAAAACATGTTTAAATCACAAAATGAGTGGTTTTGAGCAAGAACAAAGATTTCTGGTGCTTTTTAAATTAAATGCTGTAAGAAGTTTCTTAGGGAGAGTCTAAACTTTTCACAAAGTTTTAAAAAACAGAATATATTCTTAGAAGGTCAAGAAAATGTTTTAAATGAGTCTACATAGCTCCTTCTAGTCCTATGATTAGGTATCTGTGAGTGGTGTAGTTGCTAATTCAACAATACTGCTGTATTGTCAGAGCATAATATTTTAGCACAAAAAGCACAACATGGATCAAGTATCATTTCTGAAGCTCCAGATTTTTTTTTTTTTTATGATAGTCACAGAGAGGGAGAGAGAGGCAGAGACATAGGCAGAGGAAGAAGCAGGCTCCATCCACCGGGAGCCCGACGTGGGATTCGATCCCGGGTCTCCAGGATCGCGCCCTGGGCCAAAGGCAGGCGCCAAACCGCTGCGCCACCCAGGGATCCCTGAAGCTCCAGATTTCTATGGTTAAAAGCCTGTAAGACTCCAGATGAAAATGGCTTAGAAATTTTATTTTGAAGTTTCTAAATGTAAAGCTTTGACATGGAAGCCATTCCATGGGCTATGCACTCCATAAAGTCATTAACATATTTTTTGATGGGGGCACCTGGATGGCTCAGTAGTTGAGCATCTGTCTTTGGCTCAGGTCATGATCCTGAGGTACTGGCATCGAGTCCTGCATCAGGCTCCCTGCGAGGAGCCCGCTTCTTCCCTCTGCCTGTGTCTCTGCCTCTGTGTGTGTGTCTCTAATGAATAAATAAGTAGTGTTGAAAAAAATTTTTTGATGAACTGCACATTTTTAATTATTCATATACTATCACATTAGTATCAGGATTGACAAGTATAAAATTGTATACATATTAGGTATTAAAAATGTTTACCTATTTGTTTTATTTTTTTTGCTTCCAAGGCCAAGCCTGCTTACTATATTTTCTGTTTGTTGCCCAATATGTTATAGAAGTTCATGAATCTTTAGAAAGGTCCCAACTTTTGAATCGAAGAAAATTCTCCACGACAGCAAACTCCCCCAAAACAACTCAGAGAGGGTTATGTGATTATATGGCTATGGACCATGGTGCTCTTTGGAAAAGAAGGACCACTGAAGATATTTCTCTGCTTGTTAGGCCCTTGCCCTTAGTAGGCCTTCACATTTGCTGATTTGAGATACACTAGTGCAGATGAAAGAGTAATATGCAATTTACAAGAGAAAGGATTGTTTATTCTAGAATTAGAGCAGATTTGCAATAATATATAAAGGAAGTGGTCTTATAAAATTTTGCCCTTCATAAGGAAAATATTCATACAAGCAGATCTGATCAAGAAAGGTCATGGAAAAGATTCAAAATTTTACTCCTAAAAAAAATCTATTCATCAAAATATATAATTCTTGATGGTCTGCTGCTCCATTATCATTTTATTCAAGATTTTTCTATAAAATTAGATTTTATCTGTGATTCTGTTTGGCCCAGTGTTGGTTGAAAGTGGTTAAGAATGATAGTAATAATCTTTTTAAAGACTCTATAACTTTCTAAATGCACCATAATTAAATAAGTGTGAGCATGACCTGAAAAAATTACACAGGTGATGTATTTACATGATTTATACTTAAAAGCATATTCTATTTTCCTTGACAGCATTTTTGGGCTCTCTTATTTCATGTTTCTTTTAAATAGATTTCTACTAATTTTAGGAAATAATCCTTCATTAGATGGTTATCATGTGAAGATTAAGGCACTGATTAAATTCTACCTCTGTGTTTCTGATTGCTTATTTTATAGGCCTGTTATCTCAAAATTCTCCCCCCCCCCAATTTTAGGGATTTGTAGTTTTAATCGATTGCTTCGTTCTTGAAATGGCAAAACCTCCTAGTGCCTACTTGCTTTGACATGCTAGCATGAGGCTAGTTGAGTTACTGAAGTGTCTCAATAATAGTATTTTATATGTACACTTTCTTTTTAAATTCATATATATTCCACAATAATAGTCTAACAATGTATTTCTACAGAGGGACCAACTTCAATCACGTTTTATGGTTAGTATATTAATTTTTAATATGTCAGTGCATGGTTTAGATACTTGTGAAGGTACTAATTTTTTTAGGCTATTACTTTATTTGGCAACCTTTATCGATAGTAAAGGGCAAATTAGTCTTAAAAATTACCATAAATTATAAGTTCTGATTAAATCTGATTTTATGTCACCTTTCTTAAATGAAGGAAAATTTACTAAATATGCTATGGGTCTAAGTAAATATGGAATCACAAAAAATCCATCATGATAAATTTGATTTTTCATGAGCTACCCAGGAGAATAAAGGTCAGCCCCTGACACTTTACTTGATGTCATCGTTCTTGCACAAATCCAAGGAAAACATCTTTTTCAGAGCTACTTCTATTACTATCTTGAGTATCTCACTGAGACCTGAGGAAAACTTACATATGAGGTGGTGGGTCCCATCACTGGATTTTGCACAGGAAAATGGGAGCTGCCACAGCACCAAGTATGCAAAGGGCAATAACTGAATGCAGGGCTCTTAACTCCTACCACTGCGGGAGGGCTTTCTTAAAACTTTCTTTCCCTAAATGCGAGTAAGCAGGGTGCTTCACAGTCAAGTGGAAAAATGTGCAAAGTTCTAGTGATTTTAAAATGACCTACCTTAACATCAGTAATTTCACTTGTCTAGAAAGGAAAAAAAAATATTATTTGAGTATTATCCAAATAGCACATATTTTAGAAAATCTAAAAATAATTATGTATTTTGTTTCTTATTGCCTGAGGTAAAATTTCAGTGCCAATTCTTTAATTCCATGGTTATTTATCCATTACAATTATTTCAGAAACAATTAACTATGTAATTAGGGGATTTTAACAGATAGGAGTTTTCTTTAATGTGAAATCTTTAAACTAGTGAGTGCTAAATAAATGACATAATAGATTGCATACTCTTAAAGAGTAAAGGATTATCTTTGCTCTTTTTAAAATTCAATAGAGATCTTTCTCTTTGGAGAGTGGCTTGAAATTATCAAAGTCAATTCCAGATCTTCACATACAAAAAAAAAAAAAAAAGAGAGAGAGAGAGAGAGAGCAATTATAAAGTCAACTTTCTATATGAATTACAATTCTACATAAAGTGTATGTGATTAAATACTGTTTTAACAATGCATCACCGTGAGGGCCATTCATCAGTGGTATTCCATTTTATGATATCCAATTAACCAATCTTTAAACAAATATGTACTGTTTATATACACGTATTAAGAGGTCAGAGGTGATCAAATATGAAAAAGTGACTCTGCCTTAATGGAAAATACAGCAAAACTGAGTAGACAAAATTAACATGTATGAAAAAATAGTGACTAATATGAAGTATAACTATGTATCACATCACATTACACCACGTATGAACTCAAATGTTTTCTGAATCGATGAATGGCAACAACTATCAGACTAAGATCATGCAGGAGGTAAGATAAAACAAGGCTCTGGCAATCTCTTTAATGACGTGAGCAATAATTTCCCTGAAAACTTATTTATGCCTCTTACACTACAGGTGAAACCCATAAATCTGCAAGTATTCATTGAGCCCTATACTGTTCTAAACCCTACAGTAAGAAGTATAAAACACAGTCCACTTCTTCCCTCAAGGAGTCTATGATTGATGAGACAAGACATATATACACCAAAAAATAAAAAATAAGACAATTTAAAATTCAATGCTAAATTGTTATAACTGCTAAAGAAAGTTAAAGAAAGAAGAAGTAAATGGAGTCCACAGTAACTGAAGATGAATTCATGGAGGAGATATAACTTAATCCTGGTCTGAAGGGACTGGTAGGATTTAGTAAAGTAAAACTATGTCTTTACTTTGGTAAAAGTAAAGGGAAGCTTTCAGGTGGAGGACATATAATGGATTCATCCATTCACTCATTCGCTCACCCACTCATTTGTCCATTCACTCATCTAACAAAATATTTTTTTTTTTGCTGCCTCCTGCATTCAGGCACTATACTAAGTGCTTGGGTACAATGGTAAACTAGAGCCGTAACAGCCCTCAATGAGCCTACTGGTAAGGGGATGGGTAGCTAACAAGAAATAGGTGGTTTTAACATTGTGCTACAATAGATGTTAAGTAAAGGATATTATGATAGTTTCAAGAAGGGATACTTAACATAGCAGAGAGAAATCAAAGAAGATTTTGTATAACATGTAACATTTATGCTAAGTTTCCTGAAACATTAATAGGGTATGGTTCTGTGAAGTAGGAAAAGGGAATTTTTAGGTAGAAGGAAAGCATGTGGCCTGGAAGCAAGGAAAGAGCATGAGAAATGGCCATCACATATGCAAATGCAGCTAAGACAGGCCTAGCTCTAGCAGAGGATTTGTGTAGGTCACTAATGGGAAACAAAGAAGGAGAGCCAGATTAAGGAAGCCATGGACTATGAAGAATTCAGACTTCCAGTTGGAAATTGAGCACATGTTCTTGAAAGGAGTAACATGAGAAAGATTATGTTAGAAAAGTATGGCCAGTACAAGAAGTGGAGAGCTTGGGAGCCATTGGGTAATCCAAGGGAGGTAACTTGGAGTGGTTGATGGATCTATCCTTTAAGAGAAAGCATATCACCAGAGGAGCTCAGTGGGGAGCCTGCTTCTTCCTTTGCCTCCACCCCCTGCTCATGAGCACGCTCTCTCTCAAATAAATAAATAAAATCTTAAAAAATATATATATATATAGAAGTCCTAACTCCTAGTGCACCTCAGGATGTGGCCTTATTTGGAAAATGGATCTTTCGGTAGGCAATCAAGTAAAAATGAGGTCACGAAGGTGGGCCCTAATCAATATGACAGGTATTCTACAAAAAGGGGAAATTTGGGCACAGAGATGGACATGCATGCAGGGAAGACAGTATGGAGAACCAGAGAAGGCTGTGTGAAGACAGATGTACAAGGAGGATGCCATGTGGAGACAGAGGATGGGAATTGCCAAAGATGGCTGGAAATCACTAGAAGCTATCAAGAAGTAAGGAAGAACTGTCCTCTATGGGTTTCGGGGGGTGGGGAGGTGGGGTGGAGTGTGGCCCTGTTGACACCTTGATTTTGGACTTCTACTTCCAGAACTGTATGACAGTAAGTGTCCATTGTTTTAAGTCACCTAGTTTGTGGTACTTCATTATGGCAGCCCTGGCAAACGAAAACAATGACCAAGAAGGTTTCTTCCAAAAATTCAAAGATAGGTCAGTATCAGGAAATCTGTCAACCACAGTCAATCAGGCATTAATGAATTAACAGACAAAACCCACATGGTGTCATTTATGCTGAAAAGGTGTTTGATAAAAGCCAGCAGCAAATCTTAAAAACTCTAAATAAACTAGGAATAAAAATATATAAGACCAGAACCCAAAAACAAATATTATTCTAAGCAGTAAAACTCTAGAACAATTTCATTGAAAATAAAAAATTAGTTTTGTCAGCAATCGCTATTATTATTATTTAATATTGATTTTAGCAAATGCAATATGACAAAAAATAATTGATATGAACAGTAGGAAAAGAGTTAAAACTATCTATTTTTGTTAAAATGATTGTATATCTCAAAAACCCTAGGAGACCCTAGTAAAATGCCTGCTAGAATTAAAAGACAATTTGGCTTTCTTACTATTGTAACAATAGGTGGAAAAAGGAAAATATTCCACTTATAACAGTGACAAGAATTATAAAACACTTGAGCATAAATTTTAAAAGAAGGCACAGAACCTATGCAAAGAAAATTATAAGATCTTATTGAAGAGTATAAACTGAGACATGAAGAAATGGAAAGCCATGTCTTATTCTTGGATGAGAAAATTTACTATCATAAAAGTGCCAATTCTTTCAAAGCAATGTGTAAAGTTATTTCAATTCCAAATAAAACCCAACAGGAAATTATCTGCAGAAACTGGATAAAATGAACTGAACCTTCATATTTTAATTTACAGATTAAATTTAAATTGGGTTTTTATTTTATATCTAATGTAAAATTTTAATTCAAGTGGATTAAAGACATAGGTGAAAAAATATAAAAATCATCAAAGACACACTCACAAACAGTGTATACTGTCTAGAAGTTGGAAAAACCTTGAAATCCCAGGAAAAAAACTCAGAAGCTATAAACAAAAAAAATATACATGTATTTGACAAAAATTAAAACTTTTTGTATGGTAAAAAGATATCATAAATAAAATTATAAATAATAAATTTAGGAAATTGCTGTTACAAATTGACAAGAAAAAGGTATCTCAATGAAGAAATGAATAAGAATAGAATTCATTGTATATTGCCAATATACAAAAATATACTCTATGTAGCCAGAGAAGTAGAAATTAAAGTACTACTGAGACCACCTCACACCCATCAGACTGACAAAAATTTAAAAGAGCAATAACACCTCTTGCTGCTAAGGAGGAAACAAAAAAGGTATGCACGTACAGAGATGCTAGAAATGTGATTTGACAACAGATGTTTTAAAATTAAAACGTACAGGGGCACTGGAGTGGTGTAGTCAGTTAAACAGCTGATTCTTGGTTTCAGCTCAGTCGTGATTTCAGGGTGGTGGGATCAAGCACTACAAGAGGCCCTATGCTCAGCATGGAGTCTGCTTCAGAGTCTCCCTCCCTCTGCACCTACTGCTCATGCTCTCTCTCTCACTCAAATAAGTAAATAAATCTTAAAAAATACATATCCCTTTAATCAGCAATTCCATTTTTTTTTTTAAGCCAGGGACAGAGGAAGGAGGAGAAAGAGAATCTCAAGCAGGCTCCGTGCCCAGCACAGAGCCTGATGTGGGGTTTGATCTCACGACCCTGAGATCATGACCTGAGCTGAAATCAAGAGTTGGATGCTTAACCTACTGAGCCACTCAGGTGGCCCAGCAATCCTAGTCTTAGGAACCTGTTCCTAAGAATTGAGTATGTATGAGGATTTTTTTTTACAGTATTGTTTATTTGTGCAAAAATCTAGAAAGGGTTGAATTAATTACAAATGAATTGATTCCGAAAAAGAATAAATTTTGATAGATTCACATCAAAGGATATTATTAAGCCATTGTACAGAATGAAATAGACCTAAACCAGCTGGTTTGTAATGCTTTGCAAAAGATATTGTTGAATGAACAAAAATAAGACACAGGAAAGTGTGTATAATGTAATCCAATTTTTTAAAAAAGTTAAAACTCCTAAATAGTATATGACTACATACCTGCATGAAAATCACTAGTATATAAATTGTGATTCAATTTAATAAAAATTATATATATTCTACATGAGTATATATTTATTTTCCTAAGAAATTAGGATAAAAAAAGATGTTTTCCTACTGTCTCATAGAGCTGTCCATGATATATAGTTAAAAAGCAGTTTAGAATAACGTACTTACTATACACTTATTTCTGTAAAGAGACATTCAGCTCCTCCCTTCTATATGTGTACATGAGCAAGAAAAAAGTTATAGAATGCTACATATTGGTTTTAAAGCACTGGATATCTCTGGAGTCCACCTTGGGATTGGGGATAACAGTTGGATAATCAGCTTCTTTACATATCTTTATGTGTTTTATTTCTTGGGGAAAAAAAAAAAAACAAATAAATGAAGAAAGCCAAATGCCTATACAAGCCAGAGCGAAGCAGGCTCAGTGTGGGCTGTGATGACGCAGAATTCAGACCGAAAAACATTTAGTTCAAAATAAAAAGAAAAATAACACAAAAACCATTTTGTGAGAGGGGGAAAAATAAGACATTCATGGGGGCAGGACCCAATTTAAATTTTTGCGTGTCAAGCGTTTAGAAATAAAAGTCCTAAATGTCACACAGATTTTATGTAACAGATAGGGAAGCCACATATACTTTCCTTTTTATCCATCTGTCCTCCAATCACAGAATCTGTAACCAGGGCCAAAGGCAGAATGCTTGCAGAATGCTTCTTACTCTCTGATGCTTGAATACTTACCATTATGGGAACGAGTAGCTCCCATTCCAGAAATACAGGATCATGGAAACCTGTGCACCCCAACTTCCTCCTGTCATGGCTGAGGAAACTGAACCAGCTTACCTTGTTCATCTTCTATCCTCTCCATTCTCTCAATGGCAGGCAAATTATTTATTTCAGAATTTTCTCCCAGAGCAAAGAAATGCTAAACAAGTAACAGTGGTATTTCCCTAGTTTGATAAATAAAAGCTCTCATATTGATATATAAAAACCAACTTTCAACTGCTCTATTGAACAACTGAAATGAAAGGCACAGTCTGTTTAAGCTGCCCCGGGGCCAGTCTGTAGAGCCACTGGTCAAAACTATAAGGCCAATCCTCAATCATTTGTTTATTCATCCTTCCTTTTATTCAACCAACATTTAATGAACACTTGCTGTACCCCTGACATTGTGAGGTGATGGTGATACAAACATGAATATAACATGGTCCCTTTTTACCATCCACTGAGGAATGACAGGCTACAAAACAAGTGAGACCAAAGTACAGACCAAGTGTGGATGGACCAGTTCACTCTGACTGGAGTTTTCAGGAGTGGCTGCATCAAGGCTATGGTTGACATGGGAGTCAGGCCACGCAGGACGCAGGATTTCAGAGGTAAATGCAGAAGCAAAAGTGAGTGAGTAGCATGTTTGAGGAAATGCTCAGAATTTAGCCCAACCCAAGAAAAGAGCAAAGGAGAAAATAAGAAATTCAAATGTTCTAGTCTGAGGATAAAAGTAAATTCAATCCAGATGCAAAATAATTTGCCACCCCAACTCCTGTACATCTGACACATAGAAAGTGCTTAGTAAAATTAGGGCTGGGTAAATCCTGACCAACTACGTAGTGTCCCAGTTTGATTTACTAAATGGTTGTAGCTTGTTATTACCATGTACTGTCCAGGGTCTAAATCGCCCATCATTCCTTTCAGATGTGTGTTTTCAGTTCTGACAGCTTTATATCTCATATCTGAGACCTGAAAGCAGATCGGGAGGTAAAAGTGAATGCAAAAATCATAATAAAAGCTCGCAACTGTATTAGAAGAAATTTTACTAATCTATAGATTTTCTAAGTGTAGGGAAGAGAAACACTTGTTAGGCCTGATCATCATAAATCAGATACTTGCCTTTAGTTCTCAGTCTGGCAGCCCTCACTCTACCCTCCTTTCCTGATTGGTGCTAAATTAAAAACACATACTGACAATAACGATTCATTTGCTTTTTCTTTCCAATTCCAAAATTCCATTTCTCACTTCTAACTTTTCTATCCTATGCAAATTAACACCAGAAAAATCACAATTTAAAAACACGCTCCAATAACAATGCCCATTGAATTCTTCACTACCTAATTTTTATAATATGCAAATATTACTTTTATGTTTAATTTTGTTCTTTCTAGTATTTCTGCCAAACTACTTTCTCTCTCTCTCTACTTTATTCTAATTTATTTTTCCCTGATTTCTTCTACTTGACTAGTACTTACACACATCTGCTCTTTTACTTAGATAGGCCTCATTTCTATAGAAAACACTTCCCTTAAAATGATTTATTTACTTTGTAGATTACAAAATATATTCTCCTGATCAAAAACCTAAAAACGCAGAAAAGTATAAAGAAGAAAATAAGAATCATTCATAATCCAACTACCCGAATCACTGTTAATACTTCTAAAATATCTTTTCCTATAGCAGTACAGTCAATGCTACTATCTCATCTATGGTGTTTTCCTGTGTATTGTACAAATTTATCATAGTTTATGGCTTATAATTGGGCAAAGTCAGATCTCGTTTTTATAACACACAGGATTTAAATAGCCATCTTATTTGTGAAGTGACCCTCATATGCCTAGAAAGTCATTGAATGGTGCCCTCAAAGCCTTTCGATTTGGGGTAAGAAAAGCAGATAAACCTCATGCTTTTAATAACAGATCATCAATTTGATGATGAGTAAAGGGTTGAGGAATTTCAAAAGAAATAGGATGAAAGAAAGGGAGGAGAAAAAGGAGGAAGCCAAAGGAGGGAGGGGTGGACCTCAAAGTTACTTGCAGTATTTTAACAGTAGAATGGTACAATTGTTTTTTCTTTCACCATGAACCATATGGTGCACCGAGTTCAGTAAATATGGAATAATTTTCATGTTTCAACATCCATTTTTTTTACTCCTCCCTAATAAATATATAAAATGGGGGTAAGAAGTATCCATAAAAAGCTGGAATAGAGGCTTTTTCTTAAAGACAAAAATATTAATGGAACTACAGAAAATAAATTCAGGAAGAAATCTCTGACTAGAGCATTCTGTGGGAGGTGATCAAAATATGTGTCACAAGAAAATGTTAGGATGAGATTTAGTGCAATTATCTTGTGTCATCACTTTTCCCCTGGTTCTCTTTTGATGATACTTCGCATTATTTTTTTTTAAGATTTTATTTATTTACTTGAGACAAAGTCAGCAAGAGAGAGCAAACATGAGCAGGCGGAGGGGCAGTGGGAGAGGGAGAAGCAGGCTTCCCACTGAGCAGAGAGCCCCATGTAGCACTGGTTTTCGGGACCACAATCCCAGCACTCCAGGATCATGACCCAAGCCCAAGGCAGATGCTTAACCAACCGAATGAACCACCTAGGTGTCCCACACTTTGCATTATTTCGCAAAGGTTTTATGTGGCTCCACCAAGCATTTCCGGGATGCTAGTCTCAGAAACAATATCAAGAAATCCAATGCTTTATTAGTCAAGGAGGAAGACTACTGTGCAACACAGTGACCTGGAAAGTGCTATCCTGTCCGCTTGCATACCTGTTGTTTTGCTAACATTTTTTCTTTTATTTCTAACTCCATTTTTAGCTGTCTTTCCAGAAGGGCAGCTTTCTTCATGATAGTTGCTATAGTGATCTCCTTCTGATGGAGCTCCTCTGTTAGGTCAGAGATTTCATTCCTCATTCTTTCCTGCTCAGAGCCATGGTACTCTTCCTCCTGATAGAGTTGGCTTCTTATCTGCAGCAGATATATTCCAGGCAAATATTAACAAATCTTTTTATTTGTCAAGCAGCTTAAGGCTTTTGTTAGCCATGCTCAGTCTTCCTGTCCTATCTTAAACATTTGGCAGGCCCCACTTTACCCACCTTTTCTGATCAATGATGAATTAAAAATAGATACTTACAATAAATGGCTCATTTACTTTTTTCCTTTCAAATTCAAAATTCCATTTCTCACATCTATTTTCTATTATATGCAAATCATCACTTATTACTGATACTGCTTTGATAACTACTTTGACAGGAAGGTGAACAAAATATAATGAAGCACTTAGCCTCCCAGCTTTACTGAGGCATAAATAGTCTTCAAAGACAGTACATAATTATCGTATACAATTTGGCGAGTTTGGACATATACTCATGTTACTATCATCACAACCTACATAATAATCATAACCATTACCTCCAAAAGTTTCCTTGTTCCTTTTTTGCTTAAAAAAATATTTTTTTATAGTAAGAATGCTTACCATGAGATCTACCCTCTTAAAATTTTAGTGCATAATACCTTACTGTCATCTCTAGGCACCCTATAACTTAACTTTACACCCATCAAATGACCACTGCAGAATGTATGGTGGAAAGACGCAGGACTCACTACCTAGAGGCATATGGACCAAGCAGGTTTTTAGGGAGAAAAACTGGCTTAGCAAAGTTAAGTGACTTGCTCAAGGTCAAAAAGCTATTAACTGGCAGAGCTAGGACTAGAACTTAGGACTTTTAGCTTTAAATTCAGTGGTTTTTTTGCCTAAATTGTGTGTATTATTTATGACTAAACATTAGGTTTTTCAGAATCACGTTATGATAAATTTCACACTGAAAGTGTCTATGAAAATGCATCATCTCTTCCACTTAAGCCTGTGGATTGTCTGATTCTTAACCATAGTTAGGCCTTCCTTGTCACTGACCTCTGGATCACCTTGGGCTCCTCCCCACCTGACAATGCAGTCAAGCAGCAAATTCTGTCCCTTGTACTTCAATTTCTCCTAAATCTCTCCTCTGCTCTCCATTTCTACTCCCACTGTCTTTGGTTCAGCCTCTTACCACCTTTCTAGAAATCATTCACCGTCTCTAATTCTTGAGATTTGGAGATAAAATACACAATCACCAATCTCAAGAAAATCATAGTCCATTGGGGGAAACAAAAATAAACAGAACACAGAGGATCAATGCATGTCAGTGGTATGTGGTAGAAGGGTGCTTAACCCAGCCTGGGGATGTCAGGATGGGCTTCCTAGAGGAGGGGACATCAAAGACTGAAGGATGAATTGGAAGCCAGATGGAAGGCAGGGATGGAGAAGGGCCTCCTGGCAAAGAGTGCAATGAAGACTCTAGGAGCGAGAGAGAGCATGCACGCCCAGTGAAGCAAGAGGAGTCTGGAGTGGCCAGGACTGGGCATGTTGTGAGAAATAAGGCTGGAGAGTTTAACGGAGTCCATGTACAAAGAGATTTATATGAATTTCCTTAGGGAACTTCTAAAATTTACTTTTTTTCATTTCATCTTGAAATATTTCAGGATATATCTGTAAAAGAATAAGGGCACTCTCTCTTTTAACATAGCCAGAAGACCAATATCATACCTTAAAAAATTAACAATTCCTCAATATCATCACATATCCAGGAAGTATTTGAATTTAAAAATTTATCAAGATTGTAATGAGTATGTTGTTTGTTTGGATTGTGATCTAAGTTTGGATACTGGCTCACATCTTTGTAAAGCCTCTCTTTTTGTGTGTGGTTGTGTGCATTCTGGTAGTCTACATATATCATCTCATTTAACTCCCACAGCAGTTCTCTATTTTGTGGAATGAGATGTTACGTACATAACTCTCCATAGTCACATTCCTGGTGGCAGGCAGTCTGATTCCAGGACCTTACCCATTGTGCTTTGTAACCCCTGTGAGCAGAATCCTGGAAGGTAGTTCACACATTGGAAAAAGCAAGCATGGGAAGACCTAACATGCAAAGGATGCACGTTCAGAAGGAAAACTCGACCTGTCCTCAGCTCTATGCCACCAACCCCTTATGTGAGTCTATTCCTATTATTATTATCTTTAAAGATGTATTTATTTATTCATGAGAGACACAGACTGAGAGAGAGAGAGAGGCAGAAACATTAGGCAGAGGGAGAAGCAGGATCTATCCAGGGAGCCCGATGCAGGACTCGATCCAGTATCCTGGGATCACGACCTGAGCCGAAGGCAGGCGCCCAACCGCTGAGCCAGCCAGGCATCCCTCTATTCTTATTATTAACATTTTTAGAATTTCAGAGTTGTGGGGGATGACTGGGTGGCTCAGTTAGTTAAGGGCCTGACTCAATTTCAGCCCAGGTCATGATCTCAGGGTTGTGAGATTGAGTCCTATGTTAGGCTCTGCACTGGGTGTGGAGCCTACTTAGGATACTCTCTCCCCTTCTCCCTCTGTCCCTCCCTTGACCCTTAAAAAAAAAAAAAAAGAATTTCAGAGTTGGAAATGACCTTAGGAGTCACATGGTATAACCCCAACCCCATCATTAAACAGATGAGGAAGAAAAAAAAAAGACTCCCAGAGAAGAGAAGGGGTGGGCCTATAACCCAGCTCCTAAAAGCAAGAGACTAGGAGAGAGAGGTACAGATATCCTCACCCTGAGGACAATGTCACATGTCTGCTTTCATCTCCAACCTCCTCTCTCCAATTTTTCTCTTTATAATTTATTTGATGAAACAATGGGGTTCTTCTGTGGTTTGCCCCAGTTTGGATTTTGCTGATTGCATCCCTGTTGTGTAGTTAACATGTTCTCTTAAAATGGAACTTTCAAAATGTAAAAAAGATGAATATACTATCATGAAAAAGGAGTAAACTATTTTTATTTTTTCAGAGCATTTAGATATTAAAACAAAGCTTCTCCTGCAAAGCTTCCCTCTAAATGAGATTAATTTACTGAGCTCTAAATGACTTTTGGCTTTATTAATTAAAAATGTCAATTTCATCACGGAATACATGACAAAAATAGTTCTACACTGAAAAAAAGAGAAATAAAACACTTGCAAGATTCATAATACATGGCTCTTGTTGCTTTTATTACAAGAGAATAGAAATGCTCTCCACAAACACTTCCTGGGAGCTATAGCTATTTATACACAATTCATTTGTTACCTTTCCTGCACAGCAGTGCATTATCTAGAGGTCTCCAAGAGCCTATGAAGAGAATTTGTGCCTAGTGTTCTCTTCCTTCAGAGCACAACTGTGCAGTGTCAGTAGATTCCTTGTTATTCAAAGTGTTATCGAGTCTATGAGGTTAAGAACGGCATAAATGTACTTTAGGTGGCTTTAATCAGTCTTTTTATCATAATGCGTTCATTGCAAACACCAATAAAGAACAGTTTTTTAAAAAATTCTATGTTTAAACAGTAAAATCAGTTTCATGGAATTAAGCAAAAATATAAGGAAAATGATCATTAATTCATAATACCTTTTCTACACTTACTAGCTACCTGTCAACTCTTTGGGAGACAGGATTTGTCTTTTGTGTCACTGTATTTCCTACAGAAATAAGCAGAATAGATATAGTCATACTAGATGTGCAATAAATGTTGAATTTATACACATTGCAACTAAATTTATGAGCCTCTTCAGGTACGGGAGATCTTAACCTTGATATTAATTCATTCGTTCTCCAAATATTTATTTTCACTTTTGTGTGTCAGGCTCTGTGCTGGGATAAATGATGATTCGAAGCCATGCCCAGGTTTTCCCTACTTTTAACAACTGTTTAGATCATATAACATTGAATATCTAGGTGTGGTCCTCAAACCTAAAGACCAGAGACATGAGTAGAAGCCATGATAAGCTCATGGAAAGGAAACCCCAACTAGATTTTGCTATAGGGAGAAGAGAATATACTTGTGGTAGAGAGTTGAGAACCACACGGCCTTTGAGGACAGTGCCCAGGCCTTATCCATGCTTGTATTCCCAGCTCCTGGCAGATTACTTGGCACCAGTTAGGTGTTCAGTGACAAAAGGTGGGTGCAACCATTAACAGTGGCAGCCTTCACTTCTTGGGTGCTTCATCTGAGCTAGGCTGCTCTAAGCATCTGATGTGCGTTTTTTAAATGGATTTTAACCTAAGGGAAGAGTATGGACTCTGGAGTCAGATTGCCTGAATTCAAATCTGATCAATCTGCCTGGTTGCTGTGTAATATGGGGAAAACTACCTAACTTTTCTGTGCTTGACTGTCCTCAAATGTAAAAGATGGTATTAATACCTACCTCCTAAAGTGGTTATGAAGAATCAATGAGCTGAGGTTTGTTAGGCCCTTAGAGCCCCTCCTGGTGCATGGGGAGTGCTATTTAGGTAGCAAAGTCGTTCACCCCTTTAAGCCTCATCACAATTGTATGAGGCAGGTGCTTAGGATCCCATCCCCATCCTAGAAATGAGGAACCCTAGCATCTGGCACAGGCCACTTCCCCGAGCTTATGTGACCTACTAGACAGATGGATGCCTGAGTCTGGGCTCTCATACTTCTTGCTGTAAGCTACCTGTGATGGAGCCACAGTTTCCCAGAGGCACAATGAGGATGGAAGGTTTGTGTCTTTTATAGCACTGTGCAGAAAAATGTAAGAATTAGCAGCCTGGTAGGTTATTCTCTTAGGGGAAAACATAGAAGGAAAAAGAAGGGAATGTGAAGGAAGGTTTTCCTCCTCCCTTTGTGTTCAGAGACTTCAGATCTGCCTGAAAGGATGAAGCCCATTATTTTCCATACCTTATTCAATTCTTTTTCATGATTTTGTTGATCTAGGGTCACTGAGAACAGCTCTTTCCTTTTCCTTTCTAGTTCTTTAGTAGAAGGTGAATAAGAGGATTCAACTCTACAAATTAAAGTGAAAAAAAAACTTAACTTGGTAAACTGTCCTGATTCTGTCGTTGATTTAGACTATTGTAGGTTGCAGAGATAGACTATTAGCTTCTTGGAAAAGCTTCTGGTTCCAGAAATTGCAAATTCTCATACATTCAGATCCCATAAGTATTTACATATTTAACTGAGTGCAAATGGTTTTAGTGAAAAAAATAAGAGGTAGCAATTAATATGGAATTTCAATTATACACTGAAAATTGGCAGAATACTGGGTTTGCATATGTAGATAAGATTTTTATATAATATAACTTGGAACCCCCTTAAAGAAAAGGGAAACACATCTAACCTGCTTATGCATCATGGGAAGGAACTATGTCAGCAGAAGTCAGAGGGGGGCAACTTCTCCATAAAAGTGATCCAAAATGACTAAATGTGACAGTCTACCCAGAGAAAGCTCAAATACATCTGTTCCTTGGCTGCTTAATTTACAAAATAGAATTGCCAGCACATATGGATACCAGAGGGGAAAAGCAGAAACTAGTATAAAAAGTACCATTTCTACAGGAAGTTTGGAGAAATACAAGCAGGTTCACTTCTACATCAGGGAAGCTGGTAAATGAAAACTCATTAAAACAGAAAAAGAAAGATAGCCAGGCAAGGACACTAGCATGCTATTGCTTGCCTAATCTGGTAAAGTCTGGTGTTTTGGGATCCCTGGGTGGCGCAGCGGTTTGGCGCCTGCCTTTGGCCCAGGGCGCGATCCTGGAGACCCGGGATCGAATCCCACGTCAGGCTCCCGGTGCATGGAGCCTGCTTCTCCCTCTGCCTGTGTCTCTGCCTCTCTCTCTCTCTCTCTGTATGACTATTGTAAAATTAAAAAAAAAAAAAAGTCTGGTGTTTTGAGGGATGTACCCACCTGTAAGTGAGTACAATTTCAGATGTCCAAAGAACTTTTTAAAAGTTTCCATCAATCAAAAACCTAAACCACACAACACAAAATCCAAGTAGTGGTTGAAAAATAACTGAGGGAAATATTGAAAATAAAGGGATCTTTAAAAAAGGTATAAATGAATAGTGATATTCCCTAGGTACTTTATCTAGACTGGATTGCTTTTCTTCTATCAAATATATGTGTTAACTGTAGAAAACAGAGTATATCAGAGTATATACTGGTATAATGTCATCATCAGAAGAAAAGCATTGTTGGCATTTTTGTGTATATTAATTATCTTTTTTTCTATGTACATGTGTATAAATACATATGTTTCTCATACAATTAAAATGTATCACACACATTATTTTTCAGTCCCCTTTTGTATCCTACTCAGTAATATATTGTGAACATTTTATCTAATATTCTCCTCCAACATTATTTCAGAATCAGTCTTAAATTTTTCTTATTTGCTATTATTTGAAAGGAGTGAAAAATGACATTTCTTATTTTTCAATTCTTCCTAAGGAATTTCAGGGAGTGGAATGCTGAACTGATTGGGGGGGGGGTGGAAAAACATCATGATTGTCTTGTAAATTTCACTGAGCGACTGGAACAAATGTCAAACATCAATGCAGGTAAGTTAAAAGAAGAAAACAATAATCATGCTAATATAAAATGCTAATAATAATATATAAAGGAATTATCACTTGTCACGTAGGAAAGGAGAGTTGGAAATATTTTTAATAACTCTCAGAACGTATCAGCCCAAGGTGCTTCAGTAGCTAAAAAAAAAAAAAAAAAAAAAAAAGGAAAAGGTAACAAGATCTTAGTATTATTGAGAAAGGTTCTGAAAATGAATAAAAGCATTACTATGCTACTTCTATAAAACTATTGTGCATCTGCACTAAGAAGCCTGGGCTGCTTCACCTTAATACAACTGGAAAGAAGAAACACAGTCCAAAGAAAAGAAACCAAAACAATACATTGGAATTACATTCATATGAGAACAAACCAAAAGGATTAGAAACTTTCCGTTGGAAATATGAAGGCTGAGAATACTAGGCCTTAAGTCTGAAATATAATGGAAGCTGTGAAAAGTTAAATATCTATCTTTCCATCAGATCTCAGAATACTAGAATTGAGGAATACCCTCCAAGTAAGAAAACTGAAGTTTAGAGACCCAAATAAATGCCAATTTAAATAGAGACTGGCATTAGGCATAACAACAACTATGTGAATAACCACAAAATTCTGAATGAAGTCATGTATTGAAGATAAGTTGGCAATGCCTGGAATTCGGCATTGGCGTTGTGAGACAGGTCCATATGGAAGTACCTACAATGTTCTTCCACAAATCAAGAGGCAGATGGGGGTGAAAGGTTTGCTTTTCTAGGAAATTTCTTATATTTTTAGGCATACACATTCTTTGTACAAAGACATTTCTCATCAACTAACCCCACTGGAACAGTGCCTTGCACATTATATTTTTTCGATAGATTTGTTAATGATCAGTGACAATGGTCTATAGCTTGCATGTGGAGCACTCTATATTGCTGACTGGCTAATAGGCATTTTACATCCTTGGTGAGACACACAATAGGTCATTTTTAGGAAGCTTAATTTGCCATTTCTTGAAAGTGTAGAGCTCAAAAAATTCAAGCAAGTCCCGCAACTTTAAAGAAATAATTATTGCCTTTAAAGCAAGGTAATCATCTTTCAATAAAATATCCCTTACCATTTGGTTAGTCAGTTTTTAAAATCCTCTCATTGGCCTTCCATCAGCCTTCAGACTTGAGAAGGATTCAAGTTCCAATGAGAATTAGAATATCAATGAATTGTTTGGACAGTCAAATTTTCTACTCTTAAGTATGAACATTTCATAATCCTTAGCAGTCCCATTTCCTTTGTGATTATGGGATGCACAATATCTGCCTGATTTTAAAAGAGGAAAAAAAATCTGTTCTAACAGATCTGTTCCTTTAAGGAAAGGAACTGACAAGGTAGTGATTATGGAGGCCAAAATAAATATAACATTTACAAGTGAAAAAGTTAATAACAGTTACTTGGCTTATAGGCAATCAAAAGCATTTGAAAATAGGGAATAAATCTTATTTATTAACATATATAATTAAATATCAGCTCTATACTATTGTTTTTACAATATCCTGAAAAATAAAAGTTCTAAGAAAATTTCTCACTCACTGTGATAGGTAAGTATCCATAAATCAGTACATGAAACAATTTTCTAGATAAGTAAATATATTCATTTTGAAGATGAAATCATCGCAGATTTTGTTTTTAATCTGTAATATTACCCAATAATTAACAGCATGTTAATACAAAACAAATAGACTTATTATTCTAGTTTAAATATAAAACTCTTAAGATATTCAAACATCATATCTTGAATAGTTTCTCTCAGGCTGCTGAGTATAAAGAAAATACCTTTTTTTATTTTCTTGAGTATTTTGGCACTCTCCTATTTTTAATAATTCTCTGTGCAGCTGCAATCGTTCCATTTCAATAATTCTCAAGAGATCATCACGTGACTGCAACTCACTTTTCACCTCTGAGAGTCCTGCTTCCATGGCCTACATATAAACATCAAACAGGTTCAACGCACACATTTGGGTACTGTGATTATAATATATTTAAAAATATTTAACATCTGTGAACCAGCCTAATTCTAAATGAACTGGTATTGAGTCCTTCCTTGGTTGGCTCTATCTTACAGAATTTCATTCCTTCATTCATTTACTCAACAAATATTTGCTGAGTCCTTATTATGTGCTTAACACTGAAGAAAAAAAAAAACAAAAAACAAAACAAACACTGAAGATAAATAGACTCTGTTCTCAGTGAGCTTATAGTCTAATGATAAAGAATAATCAAATCACCAACCAAATCCAGTCACGCTGTATGTGAATTTGAGAGAATCATAAAAGTAGGAATAAAATACTAATGTGTGAAATTTGGATTAATGCCAGTAATTCCCAATTTAAAGACAATAGTCAAGAAGAATCTAATTTCAAAGCTGACCAATACAAAGAGTTATAAACCATGGTCTATGTCTTTATTGCCCAGTAATAGCCCTACTTTATCTAGCAACTAGAAACATCAGCAATCCTGTGAATCTAGTGTTTTATTTTGTTTATTTTGTTGAGATGCCTGAGCAAGTTTGAAAGCTGTTGGAAAGGGTCCAGGGAGGAGAGAGGAGGAATAACAGTAATGGTTTTGGTTCCTGGGAAGGTGGGTGGAGTGGGTCCCAAAGTCCAAGTGGAAGAGATTTGCCTAAAGCAAAAGGAAAGAAGGAAGGAAAATGGAATGTAGACAAGTATATGCATCTGGATATGGAGAGATAACAGTGGCTCTCTGTTGGCTTCTATTTTCCTTGTGAAGTAAAATGATGTCACTAGAAGGAGAATACCTTAATACAACTGTGGTGGGGGCATGGGAGTGGGGGAATGGGAGTGATTTTTAAAAAATATTTTATTTATTTGAGAGAGAGAGAGAGCGCGCGCGAGAGAGACAGAGAGAGAGAGCAGGGGGATGGGCAAAGGGAGAAGCAGACTCCCCACTGAGCAGGGAGCCCAATGCAGGCTTGATCCTAGGCCCTCTCCCCGCCAAGATCATGACCTGAGCCAAAGGCAGATGCTTAACCAACCAAGCCACCCAGGTGCCCCCATGGGAGTGATTTTTAAGAGTGGAGAGGGTTTGAAATGGATTGCAATGTGAATGGGAGAATTAGCTGATTGGAGCAACACAAGGGAATTTCTGGTAGTGGTGAGTACTCATCCAAGATTTGTGACCATGACCTATTGAGTGATTTTCTCCAGCAGTACTTGGCTGTTCTCTGGGAGAAAGGTTATTTTGGCAGAGTCCTTCTAAATCATCAGGTTTCTTCTACTCACTTACACAGGGAAACTATTAAGTGTACCTTACCCAGGTCATCAACTCCATTGCCACTACAGTAGATGAGGAAATTGAGGGCCAGACTTCTTCCAAAGTCACATAGCTTACAAGTGGCAGATTTTGGAAAAGAAAAATCCAGGTCTTTTGTCTAAAAGTCCAATTGGAACATTCAAAATGCAAAAATAATTTTTTTCATGCAAAATTAGTGGAACAGATCTGTAGCTTATTGGTAAAGAGAGGGTGGGGTGTTATAAGCACAGGAGGTTCCTAATAAAAGCTGTAGAAAACATTATAGGCATTTTAAAAAAGATTTTATTTATTTAATCATGAGAGACACAGAGAGAGAGGCAGAGACACAGCCAGAAGGAGAAACAGGCTCCCCACAGGGAGCCCAACTCGATCCCTGGGAATCCAGGATCACGCCCTGAGCCAAAGGCAGACACTTAACCACTGAGTCACCCAGGCATCCTGATTATAGGTATTTTAAAAAATCATCTGTAAAATAACTCTTTGTATATAGGAATAACAAATTTATTCAAATATAATCCAATTACCATAAGATTCACCCACTTGAAGTATAAAATTCAATGGATTTTAGTATATTCACAAGCATTACTACTAATTCCAGAACATTTTCATCACAACCAAAATAAACCCAATACCCATTAGTAGTCACTTCCCATTTTCCCTCCCCCCTAGTCCCTGGCAACCACTAACGTATGTCCTATCTCTAATGGAATTGTCTATTCTGAATGTTTCACACAAGTGGAGTCATATGATATGTAGCCTTTGTGCCTGGCTTCTTTCCCTCAGCATAATTCTTTCAAGGTTCATTCATGTTACAGCATATATCAGTATTTTATTCCTTTTTGTTGATGGATAATATTTAATTGTATGAATATACCACATTTTATTAATTCATCAGTTGATGGACATTTGATGTTTCTTCTTTTTGGCCATTATGAATAAGATTGCTATAAAATTTCATGTACAAGCTTTGGGCATATGTTTTCTTATTCATTAACTCCTACCCCAAAATTCAAAGAGCCTAGAAAAATAATTATGGAAACAGAATAAGACATACAAGTTTCCAGATAAACATTTTTTTTAGGGGCAGCCCAGGTGGCTCAGCGGTTTGGCGCCGCCTTTGGCCCAGGGCCTGATCCTGGAGACCCTGGATCTAGTCCTGCATCGGGCTCCTTGGACGGGAGCCTGCTTCTCCCTCTGTCATTTCTCTGCCTCTCTCTCTCTCTGTGTCTCTCATGAATAAATAAATAAAATCTTTAAAAAAAAACAAACTTTTTTTTTTTTAAACCAAACCCTTAAATTTATATTATTTTCCAAGAGACCCAAGACCTGGGTTTGGTGAAGGACCTCACTGCAATACTTTAGCCTCAGAAGTTCCTGGCTGACTTGGAAATAAAAGCAAAAATATATTCAACTAGGTGATTTAATAAACTTGTTGGGCAAAGATGTGTTTGAATAAAGTCCTTGTTTCAAACAGGGGATTTTTCAGATGAGCCTAAAATTTCAAAATAAACAAAAGAAATGTGAAACAATAGATTAGCAAGTAGAAAAACAAATAACTTGATGTGAATGTCATTCATTACTCTGACCAACTGAAGAAGGCATCATCTGCCTTGCAAATTTGCCACGACTTGAAATTGCATGTAGGCAATGAGGTCTTCCTTCATTTGGGGAAGGGAAGTATAAAATGGCCCTAACTCTGGGCCAATGAAATGCAGTCACCATGAGCTACAGGTAATTACAATTCTGTAAAATGTGATAATAATAGCTTGTTTACTGTTTTTAGAAAATAATACCTGTAAGAATGATATTTGGAGATACCATGTCACTAAGGGAAAAAAAGCTTATTAATGATCTAGTTACATAGATAAGAGAATTTATGTTAAAATTGAAACTTTTCATAATACAAATCAGTAATAATGATTTGAAACATTTTTCTAACATGAACATGCAAAAGCTTTTAATTATAATTGACAGAATTATGTAAACAGGCAATGAAAGTACAAGAAAAGAGGCTTTGTTGGTATTGATAAATTGAGAGTCGTTTTTTGACTTATGCAATATCCCTTTGAATTCAATGTTAATAATACTGAGTTGACACAGAATTAGGGCATTTACTTAACTTAGAAGTAGTTTTAAAATTGGCATGCTTTTGCAGAAAAATCAAATTATTTGTCACTGTGGATGCCAGTATTAGGAAAATGATTCTTCGGTACTTGATTCAGTTACTAGAATACTCTCAAATTTGTTTGGAACAATTTAGGTATGTTAATCTACTTTTTTAAAAAGTAAACTCACAACCCCAGGGTCAAGAGTTGCATGCTCTACCAACTGAGCCAGACAGGCATCCCTGTAAATCTACTTTTTTAACTGTAAATTTTATGACATCTGAACACAGATGAAGTGTTTCCAGGGACTACTTGGCTTCCAAATTGAGATAGGTTGTAAGTGTAAATACACACCAGATTTTGAGGACTTAGTATGAGAAGAAATGTAAAATATCTCTACCTCATTAGTAACTTTTTACATTGATTTTATGTTGAAATGATAATACTTTAGAGATATGTTGAATAAAATAGATTACTATTCTGTATTTGTTTCACTCATTTCTTATGGCTTCTTTTAATGTGGTTACTAGAAAAATTTAAATTATGTTTCTTGCTTGCATTATATTTCTGGACATATATTTCTGGAGAGTGTTGCTCTAGTACCTTAATGACACATTAACAAGTAAACAAAAAAGGTCATTTACGGGAAGGCATAGATATTAGAAAGGTGAGAACAATTTCTTTTTGTCATTAACCTCCAATGGGAAATGCTACACATTTTAAAAATGTGTGTACACCATAGAAAATAAATATATGCAATGGAATTAATATGTATACTGACACATTTCAAAGTTGTGGAAAGACAAGTTAGAAGATGTGATTCATGCGAAAATTCAGATGCATCTGGCATTAAAATGTGTTGTAAACTAAAGAGAATTTTATATACAATAAGTGACATTCAAATTGAAATGGTTGTCTTTCTAAATTCATGTGCAAGATGTGGAACACTGTCATATGACAGGTTTGCAAAAAGAGAAGAGAAACTTCTTTCTAAACACATGCACTGGTTAAGTGATTATTTACCTCTAATTATTACCATTTGGTAAAATATAAATTTTGTAAAACAAGTTAAAGGCCCATCTGTTTAGTTAGAAATTTGCCTAATGGTTTGAGAGAAGCAGTGATTTTTAAACCTTCAAATCAGCTACCAAATAGTAAATAATTGATTATCTTCTTATTTAGTATATGCTTTAAATCAAGAGAATGAAACATAGGTCAAATTTGGAAATAAAACAGGGAAAAGGCCAAATAATAGCATTAATTTTAGCATTTTTTTCTTCTAAGTGCATCAAGTAGTGTTTTCTTGGGAGTAGAAATCTGATCTGTTAGCTACCTTAAGATTTTGAACCAAATTACTCCTTAAAGATCTTTTCATTAAAGCTTTAACATATTTTTATGTGTTAAGCATACTCCAGAATACTTTGGTTTGTTTTTAACACACGTGATTCTTCCGTAAAATATAAAATGGAGATTTTTAGTTTAAATTTAATAATGTTCCTAAAATAACTAAATTATTATTATTTTTTTTAGTGAAGAAAAAAATCTGTGAAAATAACTTTGGTGAATTTTCTCATAGAAGTTGGCATATAGATAAAAATAAGTAAATAACAGTCATATTAAAATGTATCATTAACTATGGAAAACATCGTAAAACAATTACTGGTGAAGAATATGAGAAAAATAATATTGCAAAAGTTAAAGCAAGCTTTCTGAACCTCAGCACTATTTAAGCTTTGGTCTGGATAATTCTTTGTTTTGGGCGTTGTCTTGTGCATTATAGGATGTGTAATAGCATATCTGGCCTCTACCCACCAGATGCCAATGGCACCCCTTTCTCCTGTTGTGACAACCAAAAATGTATCCAAGCATTGCTAGATGTCACTTGGGGAGCAAAATTACTCCACTAGAGAATCACGGATTTAAAGGAAAGACACCACATTAGGGGCAATCAATACTGTTATTTTATAACCTTTGGTATAAACATCAGTAAGAGTCTTCATGATTTATTGACTTTTATGAGTAGCTGGGTTTTTATTTTGTTAGTTATGTATTCAGGAACATTAGTAAATTATTATGTACATTAATATATGTATATCTCAGGAAAAGTCAAAGTGGATGACATGGACTTTCCCTAGCCTAGATGACCTAGGGAGCCTTCTCAGGAGTACAGCACAGTAAGTCCTTAGAAGTTTGTAGAGACCTTGGGCAGGGGCGGGGTGGGGGGCAGCATATAAATCATATCCTGTTGAACTTGGGTCAGGAGGGTAAATCAATTAAATGATATTGCTAAAGACAGGGAGGCCCTGGCCTTGGTCCTAGGCCTAACTTCCTGCTACCCGTTCACACTCTCTGGTGGCACTTTCTCTCTTCTTGTCAATAGGAGTGTCAATGTGAAAAGTATTCACCTGAAGCATTCACTTGGAGACAGGGTAGAGATTACAATTTGAACTGGGAATGGGAATTTATGAATGTTTCTCAATGTATACTCTTCCTCTGTTTGCAACATTCTTTCTTTGAACAAGATTTTCCAATGTTCCCTTCCTGGAAACATATAAAAGATAAAGTTCTGAGAAGGAGAAGGGTGGGGCTGGTCAAGGAAAGCATTATAGAGAAAGTCAGTCATGCTGCCAAGAGGGTGGAACAGAGGCTCTTTCTAGAATACAGGGTAACAGTGGCTATTTATATTTCATAAGTGAGCTGGAGAACCAAAAGCCCGTAAAAGAGCCTCAGCCTATAAAAGAGGATGTTTTTGGATGTTGTAAGAGGTCCAAACAAAATTCTTTCGGCAAGATTAAAATGAAGATGTTGGTGAAGAAGCTGAACTTCACTGAAGCATAGGAGTGAACTTTCTATCTGGGCTCACTAGTGAAATATGTCTAGAGCAAACTAAAGACAGCAGAACGGAAAGTAGATTTCTGGGGACCAGAACCAAAAAGACCTCCACAAGGGACAAAGAGGACTAACTCCTCAGTCTGTGCTGGATGACCTAAAGCGCAGGGGAGAACATTCAGGAACGACCCAGAAATATACTCTCCTTACTTATTGTGATCCTGGTACAGATTCTAGCAGTACAAAGAGAGCTGCAGAATGTCTTTAACTCAAAGCCAAGGGCATGTGTCCCCTGCCTGGGGAGATGGAGAAGTGAGCTCCTGACAGAAAATCCCATCAGAATCAGTAGTCCTGCAAACCCAGCTAAAACGGGACCAGGTGGGCTGACTGGCAAGCTGAACACTGGGAGCCACCTAGACAACCTCTAGAGTAGAAGAGTAAGGACTAGTCTTATTTCTATTACAGCAAAGCTGGAGAAAATATCAGCAGTATCCTCTCTCAATTTCTAGATGATTTATGACTTGTTCAGTGTTTAGCATTTCCGTTTTTAGCTTGTTTTGTTTGTTTACATCTATATTCTGATTTGTGTTAGAATAACACCCCCCCTTCCCAAACAAAGCTGGATTTGGGGACGGAGGAGATGTACTTCTCTTAGAAATGCCATGGAAGAGAAGCTGGGAGTCTTGCGTTCTGCCCCCCTGCAGACATGGGGATAGATGCTGGCAGAGAAAGAGTAAGAGAACTAATCCCATATATAATGTGGCAGGATGGGGGGATGAGGAGTTGGCCCAAGACTAAAAAATGACCCTGGGAGTTTAAGTGGCAGAAGATCCCAAGGAATATCTTAGAGCAATGGAAGTCTGCTCACATAGTGACCTCCAAAGTATATCTCAGCATGAGGAAGGAATAGAGTCGGACTAAGAATGGGCCAGTCAACATGTTAGGATTGGTAGAAAAAGGCTGAGTGCTTGTAGGTGGGAGATGAGACCAAAACAGGGGATAAAACTATAGAATGGGTCAAGTAACTGGGATATCCATAAATATGTACCCAATGCACATATTTAGTACAGAAATTGGTGATGACCAATTTTGATGAATGCTGTATACCCTTCTTAGTGATGCAGAAGTAGAAAGAAAGAAAGAAAGAAAGAAAGAAAGAAAGAAAGAAAGAAAGAAAGAAAGAAGAAAGAAAGAGAAAGGAAAGAAGGAAGAGATAGACAAGACTGTTGGGTTAAGAATAAAATGAATGCTTAGAATAACCAGTGATCCCATCTGCCAATGTGGGCATTACATTACTCAAAAAACAAACAAACACCCCCCAAACTCCAGGCTACTTGGTAAATGACTATGGTAAAGTAAACCGTGATAAATCACAGGAAGTGGCCTCCATGCCTCTCATTGAGGTAATTAGATTGTTGAACCCTTACTGATTTCCTGGGTCTCCAACCCAGGATTCCTGCAAGTCCAAGAGGCTCAGGGTCAGAGAGAATCGTGGGGCCATGGGTGTAGGGCATAGAGGTCTGTAAGCAAGCGCTGTTACGCTGTCCTGGTAATGCATTATTCTGATACTACTGCAGAACTGAGGTTCACCCTGGTGGAGTAAAGCATCTATGAGATTACTGAATTTACTCATCAAGTAAGAATTATTTGCTAAGAGGAAATATGATCTGAACTTACACATGGAATAGAATATTAGCTTTCTAATCCATATACCTGTTGAGTCCTCATTTCTACAACTTGTGGGCAATATCAGTTGGAAAATAATCACCTGGCATTGTCTTTGGTACATCTTCAGTTCTTGTAAGAGCTTCTGGTTTTCATCCTGTAACTTATTCCTGCTGAATGCTATTTCACTCACAGCTGACTTTAGTTTTTCAATAATGAACTCATCTCTTTCACTGGTTTCGCAACTGTGATCTGGTTCACACATCAACCGAGGATCTTCTGAGCTGCTGTCTTCTGTGCACGGTTTTTTACCACTTAGTTGAGTTTGGTAACTTTGTGCCTGTTTCTGAGAAAAATTAAGACTGTGTTGATGAAGAAGAATATCATATTTAAGCTTCCATAAATAACATTCAAGAGTGATAGAAAAGACTTGGGAAAAATATCTTTCAATATGTTTATAAATGGAGCTTCGCTCTTTGTAATTCAGTCTTGTGTTTTTTTAAAATCTCAATTTCTGATGACCTAAAGAGAAAATGTATTTGTAGAACTTCAGAGCAAAGATGCAGAGTAGGGGAGGGGATTTGGGGTAGAGAAGTCTTATCAAGCAAGAAAGAATATTTTGTAGAGGAAAATTGTGGGTATAATTACACAATAGTTGAAAATGTCTATATGATGAAAAATATGCAAAATAAACAAAATTAAACAAAAACAGCTGGACTATAGGAAAAAGTTGTCAACACATATAACAAGGGCCAATAATTCTTAATGTACAAAAACTTCTATACATCCACAAGAAAAAGAACACAAAAGAAAAATTGGTATTTATAAACAGGCAATTCATAGAAAAGGAAATGGAAAAGACTAAGAAGGATACAAAGAGATAATCAACCTTACAAGTAGTCAGAGAGATGCAAAACAAATCAAGTCAATCTACTATCAATCCAAATTGGTAAAAATCAAAAGGCTAATAACATTCCATGTTGGTGAAAGTACAGGTACCCACATAGTTCATGAATGGAAATTACTATAACCTTTTAGGAAGTGATATGCTAGTATATATTTAAAAATTGGGGGGCAGCCCTGGTGGCTTAGCGGTTTAGCGCCACCTTAGGTCTGGGGTGTGATCCTGGAGACCTGGGATCGAGTCCCACGTCGGGCTCCCTGCGTGGAGCCTGCTTCTCCCTCTGCCTGTGTTTCTGCCTCTCTCTCTCTCTGTCTCTCATGAATAAATAAATAAAATTTTTAAAAAAATAAAAATAAAAATTTGAATGGACACAATACCCTTTGGCTCAAGAATCATTTCTAGGATTTTTACTTTAACAAAAGAAAAATACTAGCATTTAAAGATGAAAATACAAGGATATTTGTTACAGTATTAGCAAAAATCTAGAAACAACCTGAATGTTCATCAGTAAAAAAGAATTATGGTGTATATATATCTACTATATACTATGATACATATTGTAATAGAAACCAAATTCTATTCAGTATTATGGAGAATTAAGTAATGACTTGAAAGATTATGCATGAGGAGGGATAATTAAATAAAACAACAAAGTTTTAAAAAGGAAAAATCTACAAATTCCCCCAAATACACATTTTACATGTTTGTACAAACAAAAGAAAAAGCATAGAAAGAAAAACACCTATTAAACGCTTGTATTAAATTGATAAGAATGGAGAAGATGAAGCTATTAATTTCACGTTTTATTGAATTGTTAAATTCAGAGAACATATATAACTTATGTAATGTAATTTATGTAAGTACCTTAAAGAATGCAAAATAAGAAACAAAAACAAAATCAAACAAAAACCGTAGTTTCTCACTGGCTTTAATAAAAATTCCAAATTCCTTGGCCAAGACTTTAAGGCTTATTATATAATCTGTATTCAACTCACCAGGTTTACCATCTCCAACCCTTCCTCACCTTCCACAGGGACTCTCAGCCAATTGGCCCACTTTCTACACCCAGAATTTGCCTTTTGGTCTCTTGCCTCAGTGATTTTCACTTGTTACTTCCACCACCCAAAATATTTCAAAATCCATCCATTCTTCAAGGTCCAACCCTAGTCCTACCCCTGCTGGAGGATATTTCCTCACTAACTCAGCCCAAATTTTTCCCTTATTCCTCTGAACTCTAAAGATTTCCCATTCACCTGCCATTAATTATCTGTAAATATGTACATGTGTTAGCTCTACCTCTAAGCTGTAAGGTTCTTGAGGTCAGGGACCAAGCAATCTCAGACTTTCTAAGTGACTTGCCCATAAGCATGCAAAAACAGATGTTATTTAATGACATAATAACAATGGACACTTTTAAAAGTACCATCCGTTGAGACATGTAGACTAAAGTCATCATTACAAATGATCATGCACTTGCAACTTTACCCAGTATTAGACATACTCTGGTTATTTTCCCTTGGTTGGCATTTCTATCTGTAATAAGATTACAAAGATAGTAATAATCATTAACCTCTAATTTTTTATAAGTAGTAGATAATGTACCTGAAACTGATTACACTTCTCAGATAATAATTTTTGTTGAGCATCTAAAGAAACCAGATGAGTCTGATATAGTATCTCTTGCTTGTCCCATTCTCTTGACTTTGCTCTAAATTCCTTTTAAAAAAGTGGAGGGACAAACATAAATTGAAGAAAATTGTTCATTTAAAAGCACAATGATTAAGGCTTCTTTCATTTGTACATCTTCATTCTAAAGAACTACATCCATTGTTTCCCCATTTGGAAAAAAATAAATATTAAATCACTAATCTTGGATTTATTACTAGATATAGCTTCTGATTCTTATCACCAAACCTGTATCCTTAGCTTGTTTGTTTGTTGGTTTTTATGGGATGGGGCTTGGACTGATGTAGTGATTTTGTCCCTTTGTGGCTTTCAACACTATTGTCCAAGGTAAAGCCAAAATTAACTCATTCTTGCCAACAACACAACCATCTCAGGCCTAATTTAGCCATATCAGCAGAGCCACCCTGGGGAAGAAGTGGAGGAATGAACTGGATACAATACATTCAGTTCTACAAGTTTTTGTTCAAGTAGTATAATCATAAAGCATGAATGTTCACCACTTAACTCAAGGAAAGGATATGGCTCTGGGAATCAATTAGTCAAGGAAGGCTATAAATTAGGAGGCTCTTATAGTGATTAAAGATGAACTGAAATTGAATGATGGTCATAAGGTTGGAAAAATATGGATAGGCCCTTTTAAATATATGATAATACCTTATGATAAATAGACTATATTTATTAAGATAAATGGAAACAATTTGTTTAAAGTTATTGACTTTTATTCTGACATTAAACAATTCAAAATTAGATACATAAAAACAGCATCTTTAATAATAGTGACAAGTTTACAAAACTAGGCTTTTGTACAAAATAGCTAGTATTTAAAATTAGTACAATGTAGATTTTAAAAATTCCTGTTTTCTTTTAATTTTGGAAGGAGTCTTTGGAGTCAGAAGTCAAAATGTGGGCAAAGTTGACTTACATGGTTTATATGTTTCAGATAATACTAATATTTAGCAACACTCACCCAACACTTTCAATATTTTTTTAAAACATATTTATTTATTTGAGAGAGAGAGTGACAGAGCATGAGCAGCGGTAGGGAAAGAGGGAGAAGCAGACTCCCTACTGAGCAGGGAGCCTGACGTGGGGCTCGATCCCAGGACCCTGGGGTCACGACTTGAGTTGAAGGCAGGCACTTTAACTGACTGAGCCACCCAGGCACTCCTCTCAATTTCAAAAATAAATATTTCTCAGGATGCTTTAAGAGGAGGCAGGAGCATTAACTTCAATTCTTTACAAATTCTACAACCAGTAGAAATGAGGTCAAGAATGAGGCCAAGCAGGCTAGAAATATGTGTCATAAACATATCAGCAGGTGCTCATAACAGTCCTGGCTTTCTTGATCTTAGAGATGTATTGATTTCAAGACTGATTTCAAGCCAGCACAATATATTCAGTAGTTATAGGACCATACGGAGACCTAGAGAGCTTTACGAGGATTTTTGTAGAGACTGGAGGTGTCCTTTCAGGTTCCAGAGGGTCTGCCTAAACCTCGAGAATAAGTTCTCCATGGTTGGAACGTTTTTGGTCTTCAAGGCTGATAGTGGGTCAGGGTCATATATATATATATACACACACACACACACATACACACAAATATACATATGTATATATATACACATATATGTTTCTGTATACATATATATATTTCTGTATAATATGTTTTTAAATCTCTTTACTAAATACCGGAAGATGGAACTAACATTTCTTCAGTGATTGTTATATATCAGAGACTCTTTAAACCTCCACCTCTAAGATGGCTTTAACTTTGTAGTATGAAGATTTCACACTTACATAAAAGTAGAGATTTAAAAAAAACTCCTATGTACCTTTCACCCAGTTTGACCACCATCAACTTAACCATCCCTATTCCACTTCTCTCTCTGCTCGTTCTCTGTTGGAGTATTTTAAGGCAACTTCCAGACCTCATGTATTTTCACCTCTAAACGCTTCAGTGTGCATCTAAATATATACATACGTGTATTTTTTCTCACACAACCACGATGTCACCTATAAGGTATTTTAACCCCATTTACTGGTGAAAAAATAAAGTTCCTATGAGGCTAACAACTTGCCTGAAGGTCACAAGGCAAATAAATGAGTCAGTCAGGAAGCATTTTAAATTATAAACTGTCATGTTCTTCTGCATCAACATGCCATTTTCCATTTCTCTATTACTAGAACAGTGAATAAACATTTATCCCAAAGGAAAAACATTCTTAGATCTAGACTGAAACTGGGACAGCCCATCTCTTACACATTAATTTTTTATATGGCTCTAAGTAAAAACAGGTACATGAAGTGTTTCCATAATTATACAGATTAAGCTACCTACACAGTGTGCTTAAAAATTTTATATAAGTACAAACCTATCAGGTCATAGATATACATATGGTCAAAAATGAGGCAGAATATATATATTAAAGCATGAGCAAGGGAGAGGGTAGGAGAAGGGAAAGAGGGGAGAGAGAGAATCTCAAGCAGCCTTCACGCCCAGCATGGAGCCCAAACGTAAGGCTTGATCTCACGACCCTGAGATCATGACCTGAGCCAAAATCAAGAGTCAGATGCTTAACCAACTGAACCACCCAGGTGCCACATTTGCTACTAATTACATCTATATTTCATCTATAAATTCATGAAATATATTTTGTGTAAATATTCTGTTCCCTAAATGTAGAGTGTTCACACAAAGTAGTTAATATTAATTTTAGGACTTTTTCTTGTCTGAATTTATATGAATGTGGTTGTCCCATAAAACCCCATGAAAAGTCAATCAGAAGGCTAATCGGTGACTTGCGCTCTGCATTTTCAGTGAAAGCGTATGTATTATATTGCACATCTTTGGGCATCTTCTATGAGACCAGGATATTTCTGAAGCCATAAGAGCCAGACAGTTACACATGGTACATTTTCCTGTAGAGTCAGTTTTACTTAGCAGTAGTAGTTTTGTATTTTTTTTTAATCATACATTATTCAGTAGAATGTAAAATTTACAGGAATTTAAAAGCTAAAACCCAAGCCTTCCAGCAAAGTTCTTGCACCAGGCTGGTTTGAGGGCTTATCTTAGATTTTTCTTTCTTCTTTTAAGGATATTTTGGAGGGAAAGTTTGAGAAAGACTGTTAATTGAAGAGTAAAATAATGAAAATCAAAGAGGGCAAAGACAATTAGAGAGGAGGAAGGAGATAAGAGGCAGGAGACCAGGAAAAGAGACAAACATGGGCTGGAACATGGGGATTAAGAGAAAGGAACAGATCAAAGATTCCTAGATCTCTACCTGGGTGACTGGGGGATGCCAACCATTACCTACCAGCAAAGGAGAAGAAAGGGAAATCATTGGCTGGGGATGGGGAGCAGGTACTGGGGTTTAAGGCTTGAGAACAAAAGAAGAAATGAAGTGGACTAACTTGAGGTCAATTAACAAATGATAATGGAGCAGCCCTAGAAACTGGGCTCAGGTTCCAGCAAGAATTTATAGTTGAATCTATCTGCTGTTACATGACCTCTAGCAGGAATGCTCAAGAGCACAGGGAAGAAAAATCGCGGGTTTGTTTTTTCCAAGGTTGGGAAATTAAGGAGGAAAAAATAAGTGCATCTGGGACATAGTAAACCTTTTTACGGACAGAGATTTCAGAAACTCTGGGTGATAATGCGGTAGCTATCTTGGAGTGGCCCTAGCCCTTTAAGAAAAAACTGTGAAACTTCAAACCCTGTTCCAAAAACTGTTACAAGGCTTCATTGGGATTTAAGTACCTAATAGTTAAATAGCCATTAAAAGATTTATTAGATATTCAATTTAACTGACCCCAGGGATGTCCTTCAATTTCACTCAACATCTGCAGTTTCTTTGAACTCTGTTTTTTTTTTTTTTTTTTTTTGGAGGGGGGCCTCTCCAAAAATGCTGATCTGTATAAAAGATGCATAAATCAAAGTGATGTTTTAATTCGCTAAGTGCCTAAAGGGAAGGTGAACTAAGAAAATACATTGAATGAGAAGCTGATTTGTAATGGTGTTTGTTACCACAGCTGTACGTGCCATCAGAGACAGGCAGCCGGCAGGAGCAGCAGAAATCAATCCTACCACGCATGAAGAAACTAAGACAGTACATATGGCTCACCTCTAATTTCTGGTTCAAATTGCTCAGCTCAAAGGGTATTTCTTCTTTGGGGTGTGGTGACTCCTTTCGCCGAACTTTGCTTTGTTTCATCTGATGTAGCCTCAGTTTTTCAAAGCTATTCGTCAGTTTGGAAAACTGTAAGTAAGAGAGAATGCCAATGTCTTCCTGTGACTGGTGCTTTGAACTGGAATTCACAAGAGTTCTCCTCTTGGGCACCTCTTTGAAAATTTAAGTCATGATTGGAAAATGCAGTAATGCTTAAATGTTTTGATTAGTGAAGACAGGACCAGTTATTAAAACTAAATTACTGAATGAACAGCATTCAGTTTTCATGTAAATTTGGGACTTCATTAACTGCACAAATGATTCACTCGATAAATGTTTTGTTTAGGTTTGTTTTAACCGTATGTAGCAAAGCTCAGAAGTTCTAAAAACCCAAGTTTTTTTCTTTTATTTAGTGCCATCTTGTGTTGACAATTTTAATTTCAGTAACTCCTATAAAATAACAAGTGTATATTTTATTCAAGAAAACTGAGTACTGAACTTAAAAGATACAAACAGCATATACTACTTATTCATGTTGATATAAGTTTAAATAAATTTAAGTATCAAATTGATACAATCTTTTTCTTACCAATAATTCTTTTAACTTAGACTCTGTACTATTTTTTCTGTTTCTTGTTATACCTTCAAATTATAGATTAAAAGCAGCATGGTCCATCAATATCTGTGAAGATATTTCTAGGTATCTACAAAAGTTTTTTGGTTTTATTTTCAATTTTGAAAAAATTATACAGTATAATTATACAGTACAATATTAAACCCAGGAAATTGACATTGGTACAATATATATGTATGGTTTTGTGTCATTTTATCACATTTAAATTTGTGTGACCACAACCACGATCAAGATACAGAAACATTCCAACAGCACAGAGACCTCCCTTCCTTTGTAGTGATGCTCATACCTCTCATCTTCTCACCTCTAATCCCTGGCAACCACTAATTTGTTTCTATCTCTATAATTTTGTCATTTGAGAATGTTATAAAATGGAATCATACAGTATACGACATTTTGAGATCGGCTTTTTTCTGACAGTGTAATGCCCTAAAGATATACATACATGTCAATAGTTCCTTCCTTTTTATTGCTCAGTATTATGCTCAGTATGGATAGGGCCACAGTTTGCTTGACCATTCATAGTTGAGATAGTTTGGTTGTTTCCAGTTTTTGACTATCACAAATAAAGCTATGAACGATCGTGTCTACTTTATCTGATATTGAGTCACATTTGCTTTCTTTTTCTCATATAATTTTAAAAATTGAGATGTAGTTCACCTCCCATAAAAGTCACCTTCTAAAAGATAAAATTAATTGGTTTTTAGTATATTCACAAAGTTGTGCAACAATCATATCACTGAATTTCAGAATATTTTCATTACCTCAAAAAGAAAGCCCAGAATGTTAGAATGATTATACATTTCCTCCTCATCCTTGTCCCTAGAAATTACTACTTATCTACTTTGTTTCTATATATTTGCCTTTTCTGATCATTTATTATTAATGGAATCATACTTTATGTAGTCTTTTGTGTCTGGCTTCTTTCACTTAACGTAATGCTTTCAAAGTTCATCTGTCTTGTAGCATGGATCAATACTTCATTCCTTTTCATGGCTGAATAGTATTCCATTGCATGAATATGCCACATTCTGTTTAACTGTTCATCAATCGATGGACATTTGGGTTCTTCCTACTTTTTGTATATTATAAATAATGCTCCTCTGAACACTTGTGTACAAGTTTCTGTGTAAATACATATATTTATTTCTCTTGGGTATATAACTAGGACTGGAATTGCTGCATCATATGGAAACTCTGAGTTTAACTTTTTAGGCATGGTAGAACTGTTTTCTAAAATGACTCTACCATTTCCCAGTACTACTGGGAATGTATAGGGTTCTAATTTCTCCATGTCCTCACTGACACTTGCTATTGTCCATCCTTTTTATTACAACCATCCTGGTCAGTGTGAATGGGTATGTCATGATTTGATTTGCATTTCCTTAATGACTCATGAAATTGAACATTTTTTCATATGCTTTTTGGACACTTGTATACCTTCTCTGGAAAGAAGTCTATTCATATCCTTGCCCATTTTAAAGTTAGGTCATTTACTTTTTGTTGTTGACTAGTATGAGTTATTTTTTTTAATTCTGGATACTAGTCCTTTATCAGATATATGATTTATAATTGTTTTCTCCCACTTTGTGAGTTGTCTTCTCACTCTCTTGATGGTGTCCTTTGAAGCACAGAGGTTTCTTAATTTTGGTGATGTTAAATTTATCTGATTTTTCTTGTGCTTTTGGTGCCAAATCTAAGAAACCATTGCCTGATCCAAAGTCATGAAGATCTACTCTTGTTTTTTTCTAAGAGTTTATATATTTTTACATTTAGGTCTTTAGTCCATTTTGAGTTAATTTCTGTCTATGGTTTAGGTCTAGCTTAATTCTTTTACATGTGGATATTCGGTTGTCCCTTTATTGTTTGTTGAAAAGACATTCTTTCTCCACTAATTATCTCTGCACTGCTTCTGCTTTCTTTTGATTAAATTTGTATTGTATATTTTTCTACCTTTTTATTTTCAATTTACCTATATAGTTATGTCTGAAGTGAGTTTCTGGAACAGAACATATTGTTAGGCCATATTTTCTTAATTTACTCTGCCAATCTCCATCTTTTAACTGATATATTCAGACGATGTCCATTTAATCTGATTATTGATATATTAGAGCTTAAGCCTTACTCTTTGTTGTTCTCTGTTTTCTAGTTTCTGGTTTCTCTATTTTAGCTTTTCTGTCTTCTTCAGGGTTAAGCATTATTTAGAATTCTATTTTGGCTTATCTATAGTGTTTTTGAATATATCAATTTAAATACCTTTCTCAACTGTTGCTCTAGGTATTACATTATATATACATAACTCATTATGGTCTACTGGTGTCAACATTTTACTGGTTCAAGGGAAATGCAGCAGTCCTACATTTCTTTATGTTCCTTTGCCCTGACCCATTTATATTATTATCTTAAGTATTTCCTCAACATATATTAAGAACAACCTTAGACATTGTTATAGTTTTTGCTTTAGCTGTCAAACAATTTAGAAAACTCAAGAGAAGGGAAGTATTACATTTACCTATTTTTAAAAAACTCTTTCCATTGTTTTTTCTTCCTTCCTGATGTCTCAAGATTCTTTGTCATTTCCTTTCTGCTAAGGGAATTTTCTTTAGCCATTCTTTGAAGGTAGGTTTATTGATGACAAATTCCCTTAGTCATTTTTCATTTGAGAAGGACTTGATTTTCCTTTCATTCCTAAAGATATTTTTTCTAGGCATAGAATTCTGGGTTGACATTTATGTTCTTTTAGCAACTGAAAAATGTTCCATATCCTCCAGCCTCCATGGTTTCTGATGAGAAATCTGTTATCTGAATTGATTTTTCCCTATAGGTAAGGTGTTATTTCTCTCTTCCTGTTTCCAAGATTTTTTTCTTTGTCTTTTAGTTCTGAGAACTTTGCCTATGATGTGTCTTGGTATAGATTTCTCTGTATTTATCTTGTTTGAATTTCACCCAGATTCTTGAATCTGTAGGTTTTTATCTTTTTTTAAAAAATATTTTATTTATTCATGAGAGACAGAGAGAGAGAGAGGCAGAGACATGAGCAGAGGGAGAAGCAGGCTACCCATGAGGAGCCCGATGTTGAACTCAATCCCAGGACCCCGGGATCATGACTTGAGCTGAGGGCAGATGCTCAACCGCTGAGCCACCCAGGTACCCCTAGGTTTATCTTTTATCAGTTTTGACACTTTTCAGCCATTACTTCTTTGAATATTTTTTCAGTCTCACTCCCTTTCCCTTCTGGGACTCTGATGACACAAATTCCCAATCTTTTGTTACAATCCTACATGTCCCTTAGTTTCATTTTCTTTTAGTCTATTTTTTTCTCTGTTGTTCAGGTCGGGTAATTTCTATTCTGCAATCTTTAAGCTCACTGACTATTTCCTCCATCCTCTTCATTCTACTTCTGAGCCCATCCATTGAATTTTTTTAGTTTGGTTATAGTATTTTCCAGAGATAATATTTCTAACTGGTTGCTTTTTATAGTTTTGTTTTTGCTAAAACTTTCATTGGTTTCGGGTATGTTTGTAATTGCTCACCGAAGCATTTTTATAACAGCTGCTTTTTTAAAACCCTTGTCAGATAATTCTAGCATCTGTATTCACTAAGTGTTGGCATTTCTTGGTTGCCTTTTCTCATTCTAGTTGAGATCTTCCGGTTCCTGGTGGGATGAGCGATTCGTTTATTGAAACTTGGACACTGGGGGTATTGTGCAATGAGACACTAGATTTTCTTTAGGGATTATGTTTCAGCCATCCTTTTCTGACAGCAAGGAAAGTGGGATCCTGCCTCATCACTGCCAGGGGCAGTGGGAGGCCAGCTCTTGGCCTCAGTGGTAACAGGAGGGAGGCATTCCTTATCACTGCTGTGTGGGAATGGGGGTTCAGGATCCCTACTATATAGTCTTCACTGATACCAATTTGACTGGAGGGGCATAGGTACTTTTTACTACTTCTTACATGGCCTTCAGTGAAAGGGTGGTGAGGACAAGTGGCCTCATTACCACTGAGAGGTGGTAAACGTCCTGACTCCTCATTTGGCTTCCCTTGATATCATTGGGGGGGGGGGGTGCCTCATCACCACCAAATGGGCACACCAGTCTAGATTCTCCATGTGGCCTCCACTAACATCATGGATTGGGGAGGGCCTTGTTAACAGTTGTGATGAAAGTCCTGGCTCTCCACTCAGGTCTTGTCTAACACCACCCAGGCTGGGGAGCCTGGGCTACCTGGTGAGAGAGAGGCTATCTACCCTGTCTGTGCTGGAGGTGGTGGTGGGGTGAGGCGGTGGTGGGTTTGGGGCTCAAGTCTTTTTCCTGTGGTGTCTGGCTGGAGTTGAGCAGTTATTATCTAAAACTGTGTAATCTTGCTAGGCTGTCTTTTTCCAGGTCTTTTGATTGTATAAAGCAGCATTCCTTGGGATTCTTTTCATTTGTTTGTTTGTGCCTTTTGGAGTGTCTGGGTTGTCAGATTCTCTGTTACCCAGACTGGGATATTAGAGGCAAAAGGAAATCTCAGGGAACTTACCACTATGTCGCTCCTTGGGTACCAAGGTCCTAGGTGGCCTGTCTCCTCCCTCCACTTCTCAGAGTCTTTATATGTCATTTTTTAAATAATGCCCAGGCTTTCTAGTTTTATTTAGCAGGATCAAAATGCATTTACTCCATCTTTCCCAAAGTGAAAATCTCAAATATACACACATTTTTTTCACACAATTTAATCATAATTTCATAATGGTTAGAAGGAAAAAACATATTCTCTTTCTAAAAAGGAAGCAATTTCTATGAGAAAGTTCTGATGGAGTTGAGTTATTCAAGGAAGATTGTGGTAAAGTGCATTCTTAAGATATTTCAGGAAAAGGAAATTGTACTTAAAGCAGGAATTTCAAAGAAAGAATCAGTAGAGTGAGCTAGCAGCAACCAAAGCGTGTTTGCCACATGACAGCATTTTCTGGTTAGAAGAATGACATATTACTAGCTTTTATGCAAACCAATTCTTTCTTTTTCCCTCCTTCCCTCTTTCCTTCTCTTCTGCTTCCTAACGTTCTTTCTTCCTTTCTTTTAGCACGAGAAGAAAAGAGAAGCAGTAAACTGCAGTGAAAGCAGATGGCTGCTCTCTCAAAAACAATGTAGTGTTTCCAACCTGTACCCTATGAAACACCTGTTTTACAGTGTTTACACTATAATACTGTACTACAGAATAAGCAGGGTTTAGCTTAAAAAATAAAGAGAGTTCCATGGGCACATATGTTTTGAAAAATGCTAGCTTAAAAAGGCTAAATGGATTTGTTTAAAGCAGGACTTTTCACACCCTGTAATATGCTAATATGCATTGTGAATGTCCGGCAGCAGAGAAGAAGTAAACTGCATTTCCTAAACTCTCAATTTAGCGTTCCACAGAACACATTTTTGTGAAATTGCCATAAGGATATTTGTTGGTTAGGCATCAGACAAGTAATAAAATAGAGCTGCAGAGTATCAAATGGCAAGGATTCATATATTATGTGACCGCTCAGCACCTGTAAACAAGTCCCACAACTTTCTAACAGTAGATGTGAAAAAAACCCAGAGATTAAAGATCTGGTAAGCAGTGATAAGAACTAATGAAATATAATTTTGAGATGGTACCTCACTTGTATCTCAATTTCTGTATTTTTTCAAACTTATTCCAGATTGTGGTATCTCTGTACTGAATATAGTGATTTAATATATATGTTGCTGTTTTAGAGCTTTATAATTACAGAAAAAACAAGGTTGATTGACTTAAGCATTAAACCCTTAGGCACAGGAAAAACAATTTAGTTTCATAATTCAAGCTACCATCTAGTGGCAGCTACTTGAATTGCAGGCAAAATGTCTAAATTTAAGAGATAGTCTTGTAAGATTACATTTATTAAGTCGTATCAAATGTTTCATATTCCAATCTTAATGGCTGATAACCTCCCTAAAAAGGTACTTAAGAAAGAATTCACTACTTTATAGGCTCTTTAATTGTATCACCACTTATGAAATCTTCGCACTTCAAAAATTTCACAAACTGTTTCCCATCGATTCATTTACAAAGTTAAGCAAGGACATAGCATCCACTAGATCTAAGAAGCACAGATGATGATTGCCCTATGTATTATGTGAGGTAAGGCAGAGAAGACTTTTGGCTTGCCAGCACAGTGGGGAGATACAGAAATAAATAAGAAAGAATTCAGTATCCCTATTCAGAATATCTGTCATTTATGAAACAGCCCTACCAGTATCAAAGTAATAAAGACCAGTTTTATCTTTTCAACTATCTATTTCATAATACCAAAGTTATTTTTGTTGCTCATATAGCTAATTATTATCATGTAATTAATCAACAAATCACTTGATAAATAGGCAATAGTCTTGCACTTTGCTAACAGTTAAAGGGATAAAGAGTTGACGGTCTAAGAAAAGAAACAGTCTAATAAAACAGTGAAAGATGGGTCAAACATATAACACTAAATTAAAATACAAGAACTTTACTTGTATTAAAAATAATCCATTTTAATAAAATACAATTTATAAGTCTATAAATTTAATACAATTTATATGTAAAAACATATATCAAAATGTATTAAATTATCAAATGAGATTACATTATAATAAGTTTCCTTACTTGAGCTTTCAGGGTTTGCAGTTGTCCTTCATAATTTCGCATCATTGCCAAGTTACATTTTTCCAGACTATCCAACTTCTGTCTAAGTAACCCCACCTGCAGCAAGAATAAAATTTAATTTGTATTTTTCTCAACTTTTGCCTGACAAAATCAGAAAATATGCAAAGGAAGAGCATGATTGAAATAAAACTGCTGTACCAAAACAAGAATAAATATTTGTACTGCAGTTCTTAAAATAGCTATTAATAATTAAAGTCACAAAGCCACACATTGCTAGCATTATTCCACTGGGTACACATTAGGACAGTATGGTATGGATGTCTGACGAAAGATCCGTATCACCATCACATTCTAAACCAAGGTTTAGAATTTACTTTGCATTATCTTTTCAGGGGGCTATGTCATCATTATTCAGGCACAGCCTCTACAGATACACTTCGGCTTTTATTTTTGATGCCACTGCCTTCAATGGGAGCTCTGCTTTGGTGGCACTATGGAATAACTGCTACCTTTTTAGAAGAACATTTTAAAAAGAAAAGAATAATGTCTCAGAGTAGTTCTTAGGGGTTTGGCTTACAGAATTTGCTTAAAAAAAGCAGGTAAAGCACCTGTGTACACATCTGTGTCGTCACAGATATGGAAGTCAGAAAATAGTCCCTGGCATATTCCAGGTCTGATTAGCCCACCTCTCCTATGGAAGGAAGCCAGATGCCAATAACTAAGTTAACTATGCCAAACAATAGCTCAGTTAACTATGTCAAAAACTAAGTTCTATTGAGAGGCCAATAAAGGTAAAGGAATGGCTGATGAACAGGCTGACTGATGATGTTTTAATATATGATTAATGTAAACACTTCTCTTAGACCTTGCCCTGAAGAAAAATTCACAGACACAGAAGTCTGTGATTAGGTAAAGATATGGTTTTCCTGAACTCCTCTGGAAGCCTGAGAGCACTCATACATTCTACAATCACCAGCATGGTTATAAGCAAACTTTTAGGGGCTGAGGACACGTCTCTTAAGAAGGTGCCCAGATATATGCATACATCTCTTTCATCAAACTCTTTTCTCCCTTGTCCTGAAATCATGTCTTGACATTTCACTTCTTTCAGGAAATATTCTTCTAGTGGATTCAAAGAGGCTCTTGAACTTGGCCATTTCCAAAGACACAGTTTGGACAACTACTTTGTTTCTACGGCTACAAAACCACTGACATCTTTGCTTGCAAACGATATTCGTTTCACATATATACTGAATGCTTACTTTTCTAGATGGCACTGACATGTTGTGTTTGCATCAGCAAATTTTTATGGGTTTAGGCTCTGATCCTCATTTATTTGATAGAACATATTTAACACACTATGACAGAATTCCAAGCAATAAATGCTACTGCTGATGCCTAACAAAAAGCATACATAATGAAAACCATATTCCAACAGAATAAATATGGTTTCTGTCTGAATTAACATGTATATTCAGTACCTCTTGACCTTTCTGATCCAAACAAGTCTGTGCATTTGCCAACTCTTGATCCCGAAGATCTAATCGTGTCTCCAAAGCCCGCATTTTCCTTTCCCAATCCAATTTTTTGTTGTTTACCATGATGTCAATTTGTTCCATTAATTCCTGAAGTTCGGCCTCACAAGGAGAAGCTCTGGCAATGTTTGAAAAGTAAAACACATTTTAAAGGAGTAAAATGTAAGGATAAGAAAGATGATTCCATTGCTCTGAATACCTTGATCATTATTTCCTCAAATTGTTCAATTGTTTAAAGAGGAAGAAAGCTAGAGGTTAAAATTTAAACTAAAACCAAAAGCTAATTTCAGAGTAAATAGTGAATATACATTAAAATTTTTTAAATGACATTTCCTAAAGCATGCTGCTGTCATAATATAATGCAATACACTAGTTACACCACTTCTATTCTCTTCTTAGTGTATGTGGTAGCACATGGGTCTTCCAGAGGCAAAGGTTTTGACTTAGACAGGAAGTCCTTTTAATTTTTAAACATTTTAAAAAATATATTTATTTAAATAATCTCTACACCCAATGTAGGGCTTGAATTTATAACCCCTAGATCAAGAGTCCCATGCTGTTCCAACTGGGCCAGGCATCCCAGTATTTTATAAGCCTTGACAACATTGTAATAAATATCTGATAAATTATTTCAAAGTATAAACTTTGGAACAATAGACAAGGAAGTCCTAAAATGAAAACACACAAGGGGGTTATGTGAGAAACAAGGTCACAATAAAGCTAGCTAGCTAAAAAATAAATAAAAATAAAAATAAGTAACATTATTACTTGTGGGCTGATTCTATGGAAAATTCAAATTATGAAAGATGATTCAATGCTCTTCCATGTAAATATACATGTACCTATGTCTATCATAACTTGAGTAAGTTTTATGGCACATAAACTGGGACTTCAGTCATGCCTATCAGGGATAGAAGAGCAACCCCAGGCTAGGTAAGACCAGAGTCAAGGGTACTCACTGGGCTACAGTGCTACTCCTCCAGGAGGGGAACTTGGTGTGATCTGGCTGGTGTCCCCTTGGAAAGAATCTGATCAGGCAAGTGGGGGCAGAGTAATGTAACTCTTTAGATAATGGGGATACTCAGTCAGATAAGGGGTAATATCTTGGATCTCAGAGAGTCTATTTATATTTGAAACAAAACCCTTGGTAAAAGCTAGATTTTTCGAGGTGTTAGTTGTGAGATGACAGAGAGCTGGGTGCTTCTAGGGCAGGGTTCTCCTTCAAGGAAGCTGATACATTCCACAGGGACCTGGCATAAATCCAGTTATTCAGAATGGATATGCAGGCAGATGTTGACACCTCAGATTTCAGCCTAAAGAACACACACATGGCCAGATTAGAAGGCAAGTTATTTCAGTATCCATTCAATGGTGGTGATGGGGCTTCTAATATATTTGTGTAGGTGGGAGGAACATGGGGAGGGAAAAGCAGGTAAGACATGATATGTTCTCCATTTAGTTTCACCAAATCAGAATTTTAGAGGTAATTAAGGATCATTTAGCGTTCTGAAAAACCTATGGCCCAGAGAGGTCAAGGTCACACAGTCTATCAGGGAGCTGGGGCGGGGAGCAGCCAGGGTTCTAGAGACCACGCTGCCCTGGCCCCTTGAGGCTGTGCCCTGAGAGGCACTACAACCCGGGGGGCGGCATGGGTGTGGGATACGGGGGAGGGGACAGGGCGGGGGAGGGGCTACTCCTGTCGGTGCAACTCTGTTCACACCTTTTCTAATAAACCAGAGCTGGGTTCACCAAAAAAAAAAAAAAAGAAAGAAAGAAAGAGCTAGATCAAGATCCTAGGCAGCTGCTTCCCATCTTCAGCTCCTTGCTGTGTATTACACAGCAAAAGACATGATGTTTAAGTAAGGACTTGCTTGAAAAATATAAATTAGGCTCAGCGGTTTGGCGCCTGCCTTTGGCCCAGGGCGTGATCCTGGAGTCCCGGGATCGAGTCCCACGTCGGGCTCCCGGTGCATGGAGCCCGCTTCTCCCTCCTCCTGTGTCTCTGCCTCTCTCTCAATCTCTGTGTCTATCATGAATAAATAAATAAATAAATCTTAAAAAAAAGAAAAAGAAAAATATAAATTAGCTCCACTGAAATAGAATTAGAAACAGGTATTAGAACCCAAAGAACTCAGAGTTTCCAGGGCTTTCTAAAATGCCCAGTCAACCTGAATGAAGAATGTCCCTTTGATCGGTTTATTCAACAGTGGACTCACCAGTTTTGACATCAGAAAGCTTTTAAATACAAAGTGCCATTCTAATGACTTCTAGCATTTCTGGACTAAGGCACAAAGGCTCTCCATTTTTACTTAAAACCCAAAACAAACCTGGGGAAAGGAAGTACTAATTCCTCTATAAATAAACTGATCAAATTTTAATTGGAGTTACGATGTGGAGAAAAACAGGAGAACAAAAAGAATTGTTTTCAGATCATTTTCTTTTTCATAACAACATGTATCACCTTTACTATAAAAACATTCTGTTCTTTCCTGCTATTGTAAGCTCTGAAAGAAAATGGACTATGTTGGTCTTTTTCATCACCATCTCACTGGAGCTCAGCACAGTGCTCCAGCACATAGCAGATGCTCAATAAATTTCTGAAAAATGAACAAATGAGATCTTTTCATCATTATATCCTTGGCATGTAGGAATGCACCATACTATAATGGAATTAAAATACAGGCTGAAAGTAGAGTGTGACATAATGGAAGCTACTCAATCAATATTGTTAAATAAATGAGTGAATGGTTTCTTTTCTGATTATGACTATGCCATGCAAAAATTAGGGTATTTAGACTCAGGGTGGAAGGACTTTTACAAGTCATCTTGTCCAATTACCCATCCAGTGTTTGCATATCTTTCACAAATGTTTCATAAGAGAATCATCTATGATGCCCCACTGATCAGATTCAGCAGGTCTAGAACGGAGCCCAAGATTCTGCATCGCTAACAAAGATGGCAAGTGATTCTGTTGCATGCTAAGGCTTGTGATCTGTTTTGCAATATCAGTACCAGGAGGTCACCCAGCCGAGGTATGAATTTCTCTTTTTCCCAGGCAACCACTGTCTGAGATTGTATCTAGAAAGTATTGAGTTTTTTAAAAGTTCTTTTACTGGGGGATCCCTGGGTGGCACAGCGGTTTGGCGCCTGCCTTTGGCCCAAGGATCAGGCCTGCCAAGGCGCGATCCTGGAGACCCGAGATCAAATCCCACGTTGGGCTCCCGGTGCATGGAGTCCGCTTCTCCCTCTGCCTATGTCTCTGCCCCCCTCTCTCTCTCTCTTTCTCTCTCTCTGTGTGACTATCATAAATAAATAAATAAATAAATAAATAAATAAATAAATAAATAAATAAACAAATAATAAACAAACAAACAAACAAATAAATAAATAAATAAATAAAAGTTCTTTTACTTTGAAGAGTCTTTTCATCCACTGGCTCTAGTTTGATCCACTGGGACCATGCAGAACAAATGCCTTTTCAACAGAGTACACCTTGAAGTACTTGCATATAGTTATTGACATGTCAAATGTAGTTACCAGTACTTTCAGATTCTTCCAAGTTTTCTCATTGTTCAATAGTAGATAATGAACATTCAAGCAGACAATGGCCAGAACATATGATAACAGACCCTTACCCACAACCTCTATAGCAATAGTCCTAGAATGGTCAGGATCAATTAGTGACTGACAACTTCCTTAATTTTTGCCTCCACTTCCAACTCAGAAAAAGCCAAAATACACTCCCCAAACTAATCACATAGGATCCCCGTAACAGCCTCCATCCGAAGAAAACAGACCTGAAACCTTCTCTTTTGTTCACTGTAAGCCTTTCCCATCCAAGTACGGATGATGGTTGCGACTCCTTTACTATATAGCAAGCTTTGAATAAATAGGCTTCATTTGTTCTCATTTGGGTGGTCTTTATTTCCACAAGTATCTTTATTTTCTTCAATTGCCTGTAGAGATTTCTTTTTTCTCTACCACTCACTGCTGAGTATACTGCCTGGAAAATACTAGATACTTAACTTACCATTTATTGAATTAATGAAAAAGTGAATGACCATGGAAAGACTTTCAGACCCTTCAGAATCCTGGGGGCTCTCCATTGAACAAGTTCCTGTTTGATTTCCTCCTTGAAATGTACCATTCAGAACTGGAACACATTACCCCAGGTACAGTCTAATCAGTTTCGACAGGGACTCTCACATCCTTTGTTTTAGATATTTTTATTCGAGCAGATGAAGATCACCTTAGCTTTGAATTTGGGAAGGGGAAGGCAAAGCAGTGATACAATAGCATTTCAAGGTGAGTTTATTCTTGTCTAAGAACCTATTCCATGCATGCTACAAAGCCAATGTCTTGCGCTTATTTCACTGGGGGTGGGGGGGCTGCTCCAATAAATATATTTATCCTTATTTTTTTTTAAAGATGTGATTTATTTATTCATGAGAGATGCAGAGAGAGGCAGAGGCACAGGCAGAGGGAGAGGGAGAAGCAGGCTCCCTGCAGGGATCCTGATGCAGACTCGATCCCACGACCCCGGGATCACAACCTGAGCCAAAGGCAGACGCTCAACCACTGAGCCACCCAGGTGCCCTCTATTTATCCTTATTAAATTTCAGTGTGATCATTGCAGCCACTCAACATGAAGCAGTCATCCACTGGCTGCTCCCCTTTGGTAGAGCTAGGAAAACAGACAGGGACCTGTACGCAGAGACACTTGCAAGGCAGGTATAATACGAGGCTGATGAACCATGCAGCTTTTCGAGGAAGGGAGGGGTAAGGAATACAAACTTGGACAGGGTGGGTTACCACAGAAGCCTTCCTCAAGGAGCTTTGTTTTGGGATCCTGCCATACCTCTCAATTTTCTGTCAGCTGCAGATCTGATAAGCATTACTTGTTTCACAGATAAATATGTTTTTTTACCCCAAGTGACTGTAAAATATCATGCAAGACAGGATGGAGGACAGAGCTCTGTGGCATTCCATTACCAAGCCCAAGGGTGACAGGGATCTGGTGGTTACTTCTTTTCTTATAATCAGTTTCTAATCCACTTAATTAAACTTGCCATCTTTCCTCTCCACCGCCCCCCGGCCCCGCCATAAAAATGTCATGAA